CTATGTCTGAGAATTCTTACCACCACAAAGCTCTACCCTTATATCCCAGTTGAAGTACATTTTCCTCAGTGGAAATGAGGTGATTTTGGAACTTGAGGATCTTGGTGGGAGATGACAGATTCATACACATTTAATTTTTTTTTTTTTTTTGCGGTACGTGGGCCTCTCACTGTTGTGGCCTCTCCCATTGTGGAGCACAGGCTGCGGACGCGCAGGCTCAGCGGCCATGGCTCACAGGCCCAGCCGCTCCGCGGCATGTGGGATCTTTCCGGACCGGGGCACAAATCCGTGTCCCCTGCATCGGCAGGCAGACTCTCAACCACTGCACCACCAGGGAAGCCCCATACACATTTAATTTTGAATAAAATGTTTCAAGATGATATTTGAGGTATATACAGGTTGCTATTGGGAGCGTGAAGGTGGGGCACATTGTTGAATCTGGAGGTTCAGAGAGGGCTTCTTGAAGAACTTGATGTCAGAGCAAAGTCTGAGCAGTTAGAATCACATAGGCAAAGAGCGTTGGCAGTTGGGAAGGGCGTGCCCTGCAGCAGGAAGGTACTGCACGAAATCACGGAGGTATCAACTGCGTGGTTCTGAATGGTTGGAGATGAGAGGGAGATGGGGGCTGGTGATAAAGGCCTTGTAAAGGAATCAAATAGAGAGCCTTTGAAGGGGTTTAAGCAGAGTGAGATGATCAGATTTACACTTTAGAAAGAGCCCTCTGACTGCTCTGGGGAGCAAGCTTTAGAGAAGGAAAGATTAGGAGGAGGAAGGACTGTTTGAAGGCTATTATAATAGCCCAAGTGGGAGAAAATACGGGTTTAATTAGGGCAGCAGCAGTTAGCATAGAAGGAAGGACTAGATTTGGGAAGTATTAAGAGGAAAAGTTGGCAGGCCTTGGTGATTGGATATAGGGTGAAAAGGAAGGAGGAATCCAGGATGACCTTCGGGTTCCTAGCTTGGGTAGCTGGATAGTGCCATTCACCCAGATGGGGAACCAGGAAGGAGGAGAAGGTTGTGGGAAGGAAATAAGAAGGTGATAGTTCAGTTTTGGACATCTGGGGTTTGAGACATGGGTGGGCATATCACCTTGACGGGGGAGACACACATTTGGAATCATCAACATGCACGTGATGTGAGTGGGAGAACAGATGAGACTGCCCAGTGGGGTTGTCACATTAACAGAGGCTGAGAATAGAGTCCTGAGCCAACACCAATATTTCAGGGGTGGACAAAGGAAGAGGAGGACAATGACAGAGGTGGAGAACATGAGAAAGTAGTGTCATGGAAGCCAGGGGGTGGAGGATGTAAGGAAGAAGGGAATGGTCTGAGAGCCAAGTGCAGCAGCAATGTCTGGGCAGATAGAAATGCCTGTGGAACTGGGTGGCCTGGGCATTGTTGTTGGGGCATTTTAGTGTAATGTTGAGGGCAGAAGTCAGATTACAGTGAGTTGAAGAGTAAATAAGGGAGAATTGAGAAACATCGTGTGTCTTCTGTGAAGCTTGACTGGGAAGGGAAGGAAGAACAGGGAGGGTATGAGCTGAAGGACAGAAAGGCAAGAGAAGGTGCTTAGGGTGTAGGGTTCTGGTTTTTGTTCCTTCTTCTTTTTCTTTTTAAAGCTAGAAGAAGCTTGATCATGTTTATGTGCTGAAGAGAGAGACCCAGTTAAGGAGAAGAGGTGAAAGTACAGGAGAGGGAAGGGAGGTTGGTGGAGCATCAGCCTAGAGGAGATCCAGTGTGTGGGCCAAGCGCCCTGGAGGCTCTGGAGGCTTCTACCTCAGTGGGAAGCGGGGACCTGCTTTCCCTGAGACCAAAAGGAAGAAGGGGAGCCCAGGAATTTCCCTGGGGGCACAGTGGTTAAGAATCCACCCACCAATATAGGGGACACGGGTTCGAGCCCTGATCCGGGAAGATCCCACATGCCGCGGAGCAACTAAGCCCATGTGCCACAACTACTGAGCCTGCGCTCTAGAGCCCGCGAGCCACAACTACTGAGCCCATGCGTCACAACTACTGAAGCCCGCGCGCCTAGAGCCTGTGCTCCACAACAAGAGAAGCCACTGCAATGAGAAGCCCGCGCACTGCAACGAAGAGTAGCCCCCGCTCGCCGCAACTAGAGAAAGCGCGCACGGCAATGAAGACCCAGCGCAGCCAAAAAATAAATAAAATAAATAAAAAAGGAAAAAAAGAAGGGAGGCCAAATGCAAGTGTGGTTAAGTTAGTAGGGAAGAGAGGCAGGAAAGCGAGAGAGATTATTTCCAATGGCCTCGGTTTTTCTCTTCACAGTGGTGCCTGGCTAAGGCCAGTGTTACTACTCTGCTTGTCCCAGCTTGGGGCTGAAAATACAGTTGTTCTCTGGATTAAAAGGCTTAATCTCAGTTCCCTTTGAGCATTTATCTTGTGTCTCCCATCGAAAGTACTAGGCCCTCCTTTTCCTGGGCCCAGTTTCCCAACTCTGGGCAGCCAAGTTCTGGGTATCTTCATCTGCACATCCAATTCCTTTGAATTTTAAATAGCAAGACTCCCTCTTACCCTCTGTGGATAAAAAGTGATCTATAAGGAGCTGTTGAAGCATGGAGAAACTCAACAGGCAGAGAAATCAGCAGAGAGCAGCTTCTTTATGCCCTGAAGCTGGGCTTGGGCTATTCCATTTTGGGGAAAATACTTCCTAAGACTCACTGAGCCAGCCTGTGCCTGACGGATGCCCCAGGATCCTGGAAGGGCACCTCAGGCTGAGGGATACTCTTGTCCTAACTCCTTTGGGGTCTGATGGAACTTACCACCCACGAATCTGTCTGAACTTTTTTCCTATTGATGCTTTCAATTTTCTAGTCATGAGGAAGGACGTGCTTCACATGTTTGTTACCTGCTGGGTAACAGTACAATAAAATGAAGGATTTTTGATAATTTTATGAAATCGTGAACTTCGCAGCTGCTGGTGAGAAGGGTCAGAAACCACTTACTAAACAATCGCCTGCCCCAACCTAATCTGAAACACATACACACACAGGTCCATGGTTCTCAGCTTTGGCTACAGAGTAGAATCTCCTGGGGAGTTTAAAAAAATACCACTGCCCTACTGCAGACCAATTAAATCAGAATCTCTTGAGAGTACCTGGGCTTCAGTACTTTTAAAAAATTCCCCCAGTGTTTCGAATGTGCAGCCAGGGTTGAGAACCACTGGGCCAGCTCGCCTTGTCGTTGCAACCATGCCTTCAGTCACGGCTTCTAAAGGAAAAGGGTACCAACACTGGAGTGAATGAAGGGGCTGCTCGTGGCCAGAGGCAGCTGGCTGGCATGTGGCGGGTGTTCTCTGCCTGTCTGGCTTCCTAAGGGCTGAGGGAAATCAGTATTTCGGCACACCTGTACTCCATCAGGTGCCCGGGTCTCACCTGTTGGCAGACTTTGTTTTATTGACTCATATCGGTGCATTTTGGGAGGATCTTAGTGCAGTCAGAGTAGCTGTTTCATAGGGCTTTGTTGTACTTTTCATTTATAGCTTTATTGAGGTATAGTTGACATATAATAAACTGTACATATGTAAAGTGTGCAACTTGATAAATTTTGACATATGTATATACCCGTGAAACCACAATCAAGACAGTGAACATTTTCCTCGTCCCCAAAGTGTCCTTGTGCTCCTTTGTAACCCTCTTTCCACCCCTTCCCAGAGAGCCACTGATCGGCTTCCTGTCACTGTAGATTAGTTTTCATTTTCCAGAATTTTATATAAATGGAATCCTACACACTCATATTCTGTCTGACTTCTTTTACTCAACATAGTTATTTTGACATTCATCCATGTTATTGCATATGTCAATGATTAATTCCATTTTGTTGCTGAGTAGTATTCAGTTGTGTGGACGTATCGTATTTTTTTTAATCCATTCACCTGCTGATGGACATTAGGTTGTCTCCAGTTTTGTTTGTTTTGTTGTTTTACATCTTTATTGGAGTATAATTGCTTTACAATGGTGTGTTAGTTTCTGCTTTATAACAAAGTGAATCGTGTCTCCAGTTTTTTGATGTTACAAATAAGACTGCTGTGGATATTCATATACAAGTCTTTGTGTGGACATATACTTTCATTTTTCTTGGGTAAGTAATTAGGAGTGGGATAGTTGAGTCATATGGTAGGTGGATGCTTACCTTTTCAAGAAGCTGCCTATTTCCCAAAGTGGTTGTACCATTTAACGTTCCCCACCAGCAGTGTGTGAGAGCTGTCCTCTTTATTTATTTTATTAAAAAAATTTTTTTATTGAGGTATAGTTGATTTACAATGTGTTAATTTCTGCTATACAGCAAAGTGACTCAGGTATACATATATATATTCCTTTTCATATTTTTTTCCCTTATGGTTAATCACAGGATACTGATGATAGTTCCCTGTGCTATAACAGTAGGACCTTGTTGTTTATTCATCCTATATATAATAGTTTGCATCTGCTAATCCCATACTCCCAAACCTCCCCCGACCCGCGCCCCCCTTGGCAACCACAAGTCTGTTTTCTATGTCTGTGAGTCTGTTTCTGTTTAATAGATATGTTCCTTTGTGTCATATTTTAGATTCCACATATAAGTGATATCATATGGTATTTGTCTTTCTCTGTCTGACTTACTTCGCTTAGTATGATAATCTCTAGGTCCATCCACGTTGGAGAGCCGTCCTCTTTAAATTGACTGAAGAGCCCTTGTCTCCATCTTTTCCTCTTAGCTGATACAAGGTGCCTCCTTCTTTCTTCGGGGTACCTGTGAGCGACATGAGGATGGGATTTAGGGACCAGAAATGGAAACATGTATAGATGAATGGAAGGGTAGATGGATGTAACAGATAAATAAAGTTGTCTTGGTATCTCTTTTTTTCTCCATCTTTCTGTTTCTCTCCATCTGTTGTAGGCACTCAAGAAACAGGCAGTGGCCCAGATTATGTCACCCAATCAGATTATTGACATGTCTCTTTTTGTGACTGAATGATTGATATTTTTCCTCCTCACTTGCAGGGGCCCAGACACCATGCCACAACCCTGCAGAACTGACATTGCCAGGAAGTAGAAGACTTCCTTGTTTCCTCTGTCCCCCATCCTCACCATGTCTTCGACTCAGGGCAGTGGGGATCACTGGAAGTCACTGGAGTCTGTGGGCATCAGCCGCAAAGAGCTGGCCATGGCCGAAGCCCTGCAGATGGAGTATGATGCTCTGTCCCGGCTTCGGCACGACAAGGAGGAAAGCAGAGCCAAGCAGAGCACAGACCCCTCTCTCATCAGCTGGGATGAGCCTGTCCTAGACTTCTACAGCAAGCCAGCGGGAAGGCGGAAGGACCTCAAGCTCTTACGTGGTCTCTCTGGCTCTGACCCTACCCTCAATTACAACTCGCTCTCCCCACAGGAAGGGCTGCCCAACCACTCTACCTCCCAGGGCTCCCAGCCTGGCCCAGATCCCTGGCCCAAAGCCTCCCTGGCCGGAGACTATCTCTACATTTTTGATGGTTCAGATGGGGGGCTCTCTTTGTCCCCAGGACTGGGGGACACAGACGACTCTTTGAAGAAACTGTCCCCACCTCCTCTGCCTCCCCGAGTCTCTATCTGGGACACTCCTCCCCTGCCTCCCAGAAAGGGGTCCACCTCATCCTCCAAGATCTCCCGGCCCAATGACATCAACACTTTTTCTTTGGTCGAACAACCTCCAGGCAAACTGCTGGGGCATCAGCTCCTAGAAGAGGAAGAGGAGCTGGGAGGTGGGGGTCCAGGGCGCCTACTGGGGTCCATGGACTACGACGGTATCAATGATGCCATTACACGGCTCAACTTGAAGTCAACCTATGATGCAGAGATGCTGCGGGACGCCACCAGGGGCTGGAAGGAGGGCCGGGGACTCCTGAACTTTGGCAAGGACACTCCTGGAAAACCTGTGGCCCGGAGCAAGACCATGCCCCCTCAGGTGCCCCCCCGCACCTACACCTCCCGCTACGCCAACCGGAAAAATGGGACATCTGGCAAGAACCTCCAGATTTCTGCAGCTCCGGTGAGGACCTGATTATGTTTCTTCTGTCCCCTTTCCCCTTGTCATTCAGAAATAGAGTCCCCCTTTCTTCTTTGCTGTCCAAACCACAATCTGCTCCACCCTCGCCCCTTCAGTCCTCTCCTGCCCTCTGCTTCTGACGTTGGGCCCCCGGGCCGTGGTGGGGGAGGGAAGAGGGACACTAATAGAGAAGGCTCCTTTTCAGGGCTAGTTTTGTGTATCTTGGCCAAATGGTCCTTCTGGGGGCAGGCGTTTTGGAATACCCACTTCGTGATATAAGGACAGAACTGGGGTGAGGGGATACACTGTTGACGGCATGGCCGAATGGCCTTGGGCACTGGGGTGTGTTCCTTCTGCTTTCTGACTTTCTGCTCTGCCAAAAATGCTGCGTGGTGATGAGGTTCCGTCATGATACTAACCAATGTTTAGTGCTCACTAAGTCCCAGACCCTGGTCCAGACCCCTCAGCAACCCTGCCTAATGATCCACAGTGGCTAGCCCTGCTCTGTCTCACCCCAAAGCTCCATTGTTCTCACTCGCTAGCTCGCTGGCTCTCTCTGCGTCACTCCCTCTGTCTCTCTCCCTCCCTTTGTCTCTCCCCCTCTGTCTCTCTCCTCCCTGTCCTCGTGTGTGTGCCCCCGCACATCTCTCTCATTGTGATAAAATATACATACCATAAAATTTACTGTCTTAACCAACTGTAAGTATACAGTTCAGTGGCATTAAGTACATTCCCACCGTTGTGCAATCCTCCCCATCATCCGTCTCTTTTCACGGTGAAAATGTTAAGAAAAAAGTGTGCAGTATGACAGTAATTATTTCACTTTTATCGGTATATAGTATAAAATAGAAAACTCTCTGCACAGAAGCATGGCGTAGGTTCCAGGGCAGCTTTGATCTTTTTCTGGTTTAAAAAGTGTCAGCAACATCTCCATGGGCGGGACCTGAAGCCTGCTTTGTGTTTTGCACTTGGAAACCCTGACCCCAGGGGAGTCGAGAGGCACCCCTGTGGCTGATGAGTTCTGTCCTGACAGCTTTCCACCTCATTCCCTCCCTGTTTCCTCCTTATCCATTGTCTAAGGGACACTGGGGCTTTCCCACCTTGTGTCCCAGCAGTTGGGATCCTTCACAACTCTGGAAAAGCCACGTGGTCCTTCCTTCCTGTGCTTCGGCTAAGAGAGTCGCCCAGAGCAGAGGCAGCTCCTGGGTTAAGTCACAGCTCTAGAGCGCAGGGCTTTTTAAAGGACTTGCTCTGAGAGGTGGGGCTGTTCCTGCTATTTATAGGGACAGGGAGATTCTGTTCTGCACAGCTGGGCCTGCTTGCGCAGCGGCAGGCCACCCTGGTAGGTGGTCACCTCTGTGGCTCGCTCTCCTGCTTCCCCCCAACTCCCTCGCCCTTCCCCCATCCCCTGTGTGTTATCAGAGTTCTGGGAGGGAGCTTGGTCCAGAGTCTCCTTGAAGAAGCTAGGGCAAAGCAAAAAGCCCTTGCCAGTTCTTAGGGGGAAATGCGGCCTTGGTCTTCCCCACCCCAGCTTGGTGCGGGGGCTCATCCCACTGGGAGGGGCGGCCCCTCGGGCTCTCGACCCATACCACCACCCCGCCTTCGCCGGGCTTCCAGCCGGAGGGACCCACCTTATCCCAGGCCTGTGGAGCCAGCTAAGGAAATGGTTGGCTCCAAATGCCAGCCTGGTACCCCTGCTGCCAGCCTCTGCCCTGCAGATCCCCCCAGCCAGCATCGGGCGATGCCATCAGGGCCTGCCAGCAGGGCAAACGTAAGTGGCTTTTGTTTTCTTATGGAGCCAGTGAGTGGTACTGAAAGGCATGAAAGTGGCCTTCAGCCACCACTCTGTTCTCCACCCTCCTTGCCTTCCCCTCCTCTTGCTGTCTCTCTGTCTCTGTCTGTCTCTGTTGCTCTCTCTATCCCTCTCACTTTTGTGGGTTAGTTGCTGACAGTGGTACTATTGTTTTGACTGGGACACAGGCATGAACTTGGCAGAGCCAGGGCCTCCCATGCCAACTGCCCCCACGGCTACCCTCCCCTCTCTGCACCCGCTCCATGCTCACCCAGGGGAGCAAGGCCAATGAGAGAGGGTCACTCAGAGGAAACAATCTGGATATTCAAATGAGGAGCTCAGTTGCTGCCATCTGCCCCGAGGGGGCGGGGAGGACAGGAGAATAGCCAGGGGGAGGCTGAGAGGTGAGGCGTTGCGTGTGTGCACACTGGCTCCCCGGAAGTATCCGCCTTTACCGGATGCAGGCCGGCGCTCTGTCAGAGCTGTCACCTCATTCCCTTGCAGTGGCCTCCCTGGTGGCTCTGGGCAGGCAGGCCGAAACCTGCCACGCACCAGCTCCTCCCTGCGGCTGTGCTGCCGGCCTTGTTCGAGGGCTGCTTTAGAACTCCTCATGGGTGACTGAAAACAGCTCTGTGGTGGGAGACAGTTTGAGGTCTTGTCTGTGAGAACCCCACCAGCACACACATGTTCTTGGACAGGAAGTGGGGCCCAGGAAGGCTTCCTGACATTCCAGCTCTTGGGGACCAGAAGACTTGAGAGCCAGGAGGAGCTAAGCCTTCTTCCCGGTTCTTTCCTGCCCAGAAAGCTGCTTTGACGCTCTCTTCCTCAAGTAGTGCTTACTGGGAACGCACATGTGTCTGAGTCATTGCCTCCATTCACAGACTCTCGGTCTCTCTCTGAGTTGGGTCCCTGGGGCTTACTGTGGATGTTGGAGCTTTGCCCAGGGCTCAGCTTCCCTGGGGACGGTTTGGGCAACCCCTTGCTCTGGCCTCAGTGGTGGGATGGGGAACAACAGCTGTCTGCTCAGCTCCCCTCCACGCCTCTGGGAGCATCCCCCAGAAAGCCAGCCCCACGGCCCAGCGTGCCGGGAACCACCTGACCTGCAGGGTTGAGCTTATTAGACACTGGCCTCTCGGGAAGGAGGTTCGGCCACACTCATGTCCATCCCACCCAGGCTTCCAGACTCAGCTAAGGCATCAAGCACTCTTTCACCTTGGCTCTTGGTCTGCCAGGACGGCAGATAAATATATTCCTGGATTTCCCACATGTTTTTTTATGCCCCTTTCACTGGAAAGTCTTTACACCTAGAGTTTAAGAGTTTAGGCCTAGGAGCCTGCGGGAAGGGGATGGCATGAGGGAAAAGGCACTGAGTAAGTTGCTCTTCTCTTAAAGGTGGGCTCCCGGCCCCACGCCATCGCCAATGGCCATGAGTTGTTTGAGGTCTCAGAGGAGAGAGATGAGGAAGTTGCTGCATTCTGCCACATGCTGGATATGTAAGAGTTAAAGACTGGGGGGTTGGGGAGGGTTGTGGGCGCTGGGGAGGAGAGTCACCCCTTTCAGAAGTTTCTAGGGAGGAAGAAGAGCCATATTTAATACATCTCAATTTACAACTATGGGATGCTTCCTGCAACCGGTATTTGCAGGCTTTTTGGAATCTTAGAAGTTTCACACTTTGGACAAAATTCAGGAAACCTCGATCTAACAGTCAAATTGTTCCAATCACTTCAGGCTCAGCTGCCTTTAGGAACAAACACACCCCAGATGGAGATAAGAGTGTAATCTTATCTGGGGCTAAAAGAGAAAGGAAGTGGAAAATTTTTCCGTGGAAAGCTGTGTGGTTTTAAAACTATCCTTAATGTTCAACTCAGCTTGGGAAACATTTTGCAACTGTAACAGATGTATCAAGAACAGGGTTTCCCCCAGCTGCTTCCCCACTGCCCCCATCCTGGCCCACAGACCCACGGGCTGAGTGGGGACGGAGGGGTCCTTGGGCCTCAGGACGGGAGGTCCCAGCAGGCCTCTTGTTGACCATTCTCTTCTGAAGGCACAGCGACGGTCCTTCTCCCTCTCTTCCTGCACAGCCTCCGATCTGGCTCTGATGTCCAAGACTACTCCCTCACGGGGTATGTCTGGAGCACTGTCACCCCAAGCCCAGAGCACCTCGGGGATGAGGTTAACCTGAAGGTGACCGTGTTGTGTGACAGCCTGCGGGAGCCGCTCACTTTTACCTGCAACTGTAAGTTAGTGGGAAGTCGGTGTGAGCATCCCTAAAGGTGGGGCAGGGGTGACGGTGTTTTGACTGTGTGGGGTCTTTTGCCGTCGATTCCCAACCCCAAACTGTGTGTTTGCCTGCTTTATCTGGTTGTTGATGGCTCTGGGGGACGGGATCGGGATGAACCCCGCCTGCCCCAGTGCACCCCCTCATTGCTTCCCCTGCCTCTCCCCTTGCAGGTTCCTCCACTGTAGACTTGCTCATCTACCAGACCCTGTGCTATACCCATGATGAACTGAGGGGTGTCGATGTGGGTGACTTCGTGCTAAAGCCCTGTGGGCTGGAGGAATTCCTGCAGAAGTGAGTGCACTGGTGGGGACAAGCGGGCAGGAAGTGGCACCTGCCTTCTAGGTAGTAGGGTTCTGAGGGGGCTTCACCGGGGTGGTGCTGGGCTCGAGGCCTGGGGCTGGCAGCTCCCTGCCAATCCCACAGTCAGGACTCCTGCTTTCTGGGCATACTGTCAGCCACGTCGTACTTCCCCCAGGAGCTCGGTCTTCCAGCGGGGTTGGCTGGCTTCCTGGGCCAAATCTGCTGTGGAAAGAGCTTGGAACTGGGATTAGACAAAGACTAAGTCGTATCTGCTTGCAGACTTCTGCGTGTGGAGGGATGTGTGTGTGGGGGCGGGGGAACTGTGTGGGGTAGCTTCTCCCGCCCTAGATTATGTGTGGGGTCTTTATGGCCAAGGGCCGGAGGAGGACTGGGCAGAAGCGCCCTGTGGAACTAGCGGTAAAAATCCCAGTTGCTCTCTCCTCCCCCTTCCCCTGCTGACAAGCCTTTCCCCCACTGGCATGTGCAGCTGGTTATGCTCCTTACCAAAGGCTCGCCTCCAGCTCCTCTGCATCCAGTGGCAGCAATCCCCTTTCCACTGCCCTGGGACTCTGGGGTGCTGGGGTGGTGGGAAGGGGGACTGGACCCCTCAGGTGGTACAGCTGTGTGGCAGGCTGTAGAGTCAGCCAGAGGCCAGCAGATAAGGAAATAAAGAGAGCTGCTTTCCTCCCTAAGCTTCCAGTTGCCTACTGGCCACTTGGTGAAGCAGATCTTGGGAGCGGGGGAGGAGAGGCCGGTATCTCAGGTCTGAGGGGTGCGCGATGAGGGCCACCACTTGCTCTTTCTCTTATATGCAGGTCTAGATGCAAGGATGGTTGATCTATGGCTAGAGCAGTTCTTGGCTGGTTTCTTTAACCTTAGGGATATTGTGGGCCCTTCCTGGCCTCTGTGCCCTCAACTGGAAAACTGAGAGAAAAGAAGGGGGCAGGGCCCTACGTGGCACACCTCCAGGGGGCACAGTTCAAATGTGTATCGCTCTCCCCTAGAGGAATAGAGGGGGCCCCAGATTCAGGGGCTCCTGGCGCAGAGCACCTGCCACTGTTGTAAGGGAGCAAGGGGCATAATGGGTCACATCAACGCAGCTGGTTTGGGTTCCAGCTGCCACTTGCTTGTTGTGGAGCTCTGACCCTCAGCTGCTTCTGTACGATGTAGCAAGGGTTAAATATGAGGATCACCCAACGAGCGATCAGTAAATATTCCCAGGGAAGGACCAGTCCAAAGAGAGGATGCGGATTAGATGGGTACTGTCATTTCCCTTGCAGCCCCCTAGTCCTTGAGCCCCCAAGTCCAGAGGTGGTAGATAAGCCGTCAGCTTCTGACATCTTGCCAAGACTCAGGTGGAGTGTTCCAGGCAAGGTGGAGAAGGATTGTTGGTCCTAGGGTCATGCCTCTCCCACTCTAACTTGAATGCACACAGAGGAAGGCCTTCCACAGAGAAGGTCAAGCAAGTCCCTGGGGGACCTGTGTCCATCACTCTTGGTCCAGGAGCCCCCTCCTCCACCAAGGCTCTTCTCTTCCCTCCCATGCAACAGAAAAGCCCAGACCCCTGAGCACAAGATAGCTGCCTTGGGTTGGGGGTGGAAAGGACCCTCTGGGGGTTCCAGAAAGCTGCTAGTTCCCAAGGAGGCCCTGTGTTTCCTACCCTTGCTTAGAAAAGGGACTGACGCTGAGGGGGAGTGGCGGGTCCAGGATGCAGGCTGCTCTCAGATAAGAACCTTGAGACAGTCCCCGGGGAGGGTTGGGTTTCCTGCCACCTCCTCCACCCCTGACGTACTCTTCCTTCCTCCCAGGGCACTCCTACCAGCCCCACCCCACAGCCCAGCCTCTCCCACCCCCAGGTTTTGACTGCAGCTCAGTCTTAGCAGGTTGGGGTCTAAATCAGAGGCTTGGCGCCTCCGGATGTGGAAAACCCACTTACGTCCTAGCTGGACTCGACTGGCCTCCGGCCCAGGCACCTCTGCTGGCTTCTGCACAGAGCCCTATGCTTTGCTCCTTTCCTCTCCATTTCTGGCCTAGATTCCCAGCTCTGCTGAGGAAGGAAGTCCCTTTCCGGCTTCTGTTACCCAGCTGCTGGGACGTGGCCCAGGCCTGCAGTGCTGGCCTGCAAGTGGGACTCAGCCTGCCCCTTCTCCTCGGCTTCCTTTCTGCCTAAGGTGTGATCTGGAGGGAGGAAGGGGCTGGATCACCGAGGGACTCCCTAAGCCGCCTTCTCTGAAACTTGGGGGTGGGGCGGGGGTCTCACCTGAGCAGTGGGAATAGCATGCTGGTAGTCTGTAGAGATTTACCTTGTTATTCACCATCGCAGGAGCCACAGAGGGAGGTGAGAAGCAGCACTTTGGTGGGTTAGGGATGATAGACCTGGAATCTTGGTGGCTTTGGTTGGTTGGTCCCAGCACCCAGTTGGTCATGGTGGGGGATGTGAGACTTAGGATCACAGTGTTGGGGGGATAGTGTCACCCATTGAGCTCCACACCCAAGCCTGAGCACAGGCTGGCTTCTTTTGTGTCCTGTGTACCAAAGCCAAGAGGATGGGGTTTAAACACTGCCCCTGAGAAATCTCTTTGTTCTCCACTCCCTCCAGAAGTTCCCGCCCCTAGAGTGAACCAGTGATAATGGTAATAAATACCTAGGAAAGTCATTGTTTGTACAGACCAAGGGTTAAATGTAATAGGTGGCATTTCTTTAGACAGACCTCTGTTTCTTTCCCCAAGCTCTACCATGACATCTCCTAAGAGCTAAGGTAGGGGTACGTGACAGGTATACTCCCCCTTCACCTTTCCTCCCCCTTCCTCCTGTTTCTCTCTCCCTGAGGCTAAGGTATGCATTTCCCTTGAAAGTCCCAGTGAGCCCCCAGAATGCTAATGGCCTTGTCCCCCTGTCCCACCAGCAAGCACGCCCTGGGCAGCCACGAGTATATTCAATACTGTCGAAAGTTTGACATCGACATTCGGCTACAGCTGATGGAGCAGAAAGCTGTACGCGGTGACCTGGCCCGGACGGTTCGTGTGTGGTGGGGAGGCTGATGGCTGCGTGGGGATGGGGAGGTAGTGGGCAGAGGGTGATATGGAATACCTTGGGCGGACATGGGGCAGTAGCACTGCGCTGTGATACAGGTACCACCCTTCTCTGAATAGGGCACTTCTTACACAGGTGAATGATGACCAGAGCCCCTCCACCTTGAACTACCTCATCCATCTGCAAGAGAGGCCGGTCAAGCAGACCATCAGCAGGTGAGAGTGGGCACCATCTCGGATGTGGCCCAAGCCTGAACCGTGAGGGGACCCTAGCAGATACCCTTGCTTGCCTTTATGCCAGGGCCAGGGGTTCTTGCAGGTGTTGGGGCCCAAGAGTCTTAGAGGAGAAGATCCCCACTTCAGGGTATGTGACATCTCTTCCCTCTAGTCCTTTGCCACATTCTCCAGGTAGAAGGTAGCCAACTAGAAAGGACTTGCCGGCCTTCAGTCTTCATGGGACCTAAGGGAAGAGTGGGAACCCCTTTAAGCCAGAGTCTGATTCCTGAGCTGTGGAGAAGGAGGGAGAGGATGGGTCTTCCAGTACACTGGGTCTGTTCTGACATCTTCTATGACCTTTCCCTGTCCCCAACTCCCCAGGCAGGCCCTGAGTCTTCTGTTTGACACTTACCACAATGAGGTGGATGCCTTCCTGTTGGCTGATGTGAGTACAAATTCTGGGGCTGGCCCAGCTGCCCAACGCTCCTCCCTTCCTCTCCTCCCGTCCTCCTGGGATCAGCTCACACTGGGGATCTGGAGTAGATACTGAAAATCTATTAGCAGAGCACTTTTTTTCATTCCCCTAGCACATGGGCAAACCACGACTGCCAGCTCTTGGGCAGCTGGCCAGTGTGTATAGAAGGGTTGTGCTCCTCTGTAGAAGTAGGTCAGGAACCATGCCCTGATCCTATCTCTGGAGTAGGGCATCTTCAAAGCTAAGGGACATAGAGTTGTCGCCCTGCTGCTGAACTTGAGCGTGCACTGGAGTGTGCGTCCTGTGAGCAGGGCCCAGGAACCTCTGATTTGAGAGGTTCTGATGTGCTGGTGTCACAGGTGGAAAACCGTCAGAGGTAGAGGGTCCCAGAGGTAGAGGGTCCCAAATGTAGGGAAGGGCCAGGACTCTCCTTACGTGGATTCACATGGAGTTTTAAGCCTCAAAACCATGAGAATAAACATTTGCTCCACATGTCATGAAGGTGAAGAAAATCAGACAGTGACCTTCAAAAACAATCCCTGTCTCACTGATCCTGTTATAGTGGTCACATCCTTTTGGGAGAGTTCAGCTTTGTATCTAGCTCAGCCCTCCACCGACTACCAGAATCCCTTCTCTAGCAACCTCTGCTTGAAAATTTACTGTGATGAGAGGGGAGTTCTCTGAACACCTTTTTTTGCACTAGTCTGGCCCTCTGTTAATGGCTACTGTGGATGGAGAAGCATAAGAATTGTCTTAGCCTTCAGGGAGCTTGTGTTCCTGCCAGAAAAATGGAATAGTAACGTAAAGCTATTAGTAGACAGAACAGGTTGGTAATGAGTTAATCAGGGGCTCTTGGAGAGTGATAGAGAGGGGAACTGTCCAGGGAAGGCTTGGGGAAGGAGGGTGGAGTTTAGCTGGTCCGTGATTTGCATTTACTTAGGTAATCAGGGTAGGACAGGTAAGGGGATTCCAAATGAGAAAACTGCAGGAGCCAAAGTGCAGAGGGCAGGGCATGGCCATGGTCTGAGATGAGACCCATCTGGACATTCTTGACAGTAGTAGGAGAAATGAGGCTGCGTGGGCAAGTGGGCCCTCAGTGTGATCTCTTTGGTCCCCCTGCTAGTCCCTGTGGATTGATTTTATTAAAACTGCATGTCTCTGGGGGAGACCCTGCATGTGTTTGTATAGTATAAGCAGACTGTAGCGGACAGAGGGAGGCTGGGAATAAGAGGAGTTCAGGCAGCATGGCTGAAAGCGCTGGGGAACGTGGGCTTGGCTCCTTTAATTCAGCAGGAGCTGTGTGTGGTTCACTAACGCTGGATGTTTGAAAATAAAGCATGGATTCCACTGGTTACTCCTGAGAGTCATGGGCCGCTACTCCTGCCGGCTCATTCCTTCAACACTGTGGGTGCTGGAGGCTGAGTGCTAGCCTGCCAGCCTCACTGTGCCGCCTCCCACAGGGCGACTTTCCACTGAAGGCCGACAGGGTGGTCCAGTCTGTCAAGGCCATCTGCAACGCCCTAGCCGCTGTGGAAACCCCTGAGATCACCAACGCTCTCAACCAGCTGCCCCCCTGCCCTTCCCGAATGAAGCCTAAAATTCAGAAGGTAACGGGGCCCAGAGCACTAGCGTGGGGAAGGAGGAGAGGAAAATTCCCCGGAAACCAGGTGACTAGGTGTCCACTTACTAAAAGGCTCTTCTCTCAACCTCCATCTTTTATGTTTGAACATTCAGTCACAGAGTTTTGGGGAGACAGCTGCCAAGTCTGTCACCTCTTGCTGAGGATGAGAGTGGGCTAGGATCTCCCCCCGGGACTGACTGCCGGGATCCCAGGCCAGCAGAGGCTTTGTTCACAGTCACTGCGGCGCTGCCTGCCAGTTTTCATACCCAGCAGGGTGCAAGACCAAAATCTGCCCCGAGCCGGGGATTTGGGACTCCGCAATGGGGGCTGTGTGCTGTGCAGACGGGGCCAGCCAGCACGATAGGTGCTGTGATCTGTAGTGGGGTAACCTGAGGGCTGGTGTGTTTCATTTGGGTGGACACGGTGATTTTATCCTTGGTCTGGTTCACTGTCCCATCACACGAATCTGGTACAAACTGTTACTCTATCCTCCCTGGGGAAACTCTGCTCCTCAAATTTCGGTCCAGTCTGGTCCAGATGAGCACAGCTGTGAAAAGCCCTTCTTCCAGCTGTGACGGAAAAGGCCATGGCCCTGAAGCTCCCCTCCCTCTCCTTTTTCCCCAATAGGATCCCACCGTCTTGGCTGTGAGGGAAAACCGAGGTAAGGGAGCTGCTCTCTTCATCCAGAAGGGGCAGCTGAAAACTGCAGTCTCTGCCCAGATTCCTTTTTCTCCCTGGCCTCTTTGATTTATGGGTCCAGGTCTGCCTCTGTGTGTGTATGTGTTTTCCTATATGAGGTGTGGACGCAGCTGGAGAGCACATTTCTTTCCACAAAATGTTTTCTAGTTATTTTTACTAGTTATTCCTGTGGTGTCCCTGGGAGATGGTGATGAGGCGGTGTAAGTGTGAGGGTAGGCGTGGTGGGGCAGAGTTAGCCCTGGGTTCCAGATGGAAAAACTTTCACTTGGGTAGGTTGTGAACTCCTAACCCCTGTGTTTCCAACTTTGAAGGGGCCTGGGGAGATGGTGATAAAGAATTTTTCCCTAGGATTCCCCCTTAAGTCTTGCAAGCAGAATGTTGCCCTACAGAGCTCGTTTCTCTAGGATTCTTGGTCAGTGATTCCCAGTGTTTCAGATTTCGTGGACCAAAAAGCATTATTTTGGGGACCAACATAGAATTATCAGTTTTTATTTTACTAAGCAATGACTTCTTTTAAGTAACTGGTAACTATTATTCCCACTACTTCCTAAAAGAAAGGACATTTTACACTAAATAAGTAGCAATACGTAAAAATAAGGACAATTTTAAAACTGAGGATCTGTCATTTTACGAGAAGCTCGTGACGTGCTCCTGCTTCATCACAGATGGGTGACTGGCATTTGGGGACTACTGTCAGAGGGTATCCCACCTTAGCCAGTGCCATGACAATAAGATGGGGCTTGTTGAAGCCCCACTATTCTTCCTTCTATCCCCTTCCTTTCACAGAGAAGGTTGTGGAAGCCCTGACAGCTGCCATCTTGGACCTGGTGGAGCTGTACTGCAACACGTTCAATGCAGACTTCCAGACAGCGGTGCACGGGAGCCACAAGCATGATCTGGTCCAGGAGGCCTGCCATTTTTCTGGGCCCCTGGCCTTTACGGTCTATGCCACCCACCGCATCCCCATCATCTGGGCTACCAGGTGAGCACTGGGCTGAATGGCCTATAGGGAGCAAGCTGAGTTAGACTTCAGGTGGCTTTTCCTGTCCGCATGTGACCCCACTGTCCTAAATTTAGGATCTGTGGCATTATGGTGCGCTGTGGCTGAGGGGATGAGCCCACTGAGAGGGAGACTGACGGGCTGGGACATCCCAGAGGAGAGAGAAAAGGCAGCAGCGGTCAGATCTTGTCACTCCCTCTCAGCGATGGCTGCCTAGGCATCCCTGCCCCCTCCCATCCAAGGCCAGCTGATGGAGACGCTGCGACAGATGGCCGCTTCCCAGATCTGAGTGCATGCCTCACGGCCAATGACTGCACTCCCCTGCAGATGGACAATGGGAGGGGGCGGGGAGGTGGGAGATGACCCTTTGTCTGGAGTTCCCTAGGCCTGCAAGGGTGGGTGGAGGAGGACGTTAACTTGGTAATCCTGAGCTCCTCTCAGGGTCTCCCAGCATCCCAGGCCTGGGGGAATAGGCCTTTGGCTCCACCCGACCCCCCCCCCCCCCCCCCCCCCCCCCCCCCCCCCCGCCTCTTCCCACACCCCCTCCCCCTCCCTTCCCCTTCTCTCTTTGTTCCTCACTTAATGTATTCCTCTGGGCGATTGGCGGAGAACAAAGGAGGCAGCCTGGGAAACCAGGGCCTTCTCTGACCTCTTCTGTCAGGCACCTGTCACGAGCTGCAGGGACTCCCATGTGTTGGCATTCATTTCAGCATATGTCGTTTTTCATCCCCCACGCTTCTCACCTGCGCATGCGCACGTGCGCAGGCGTGCCCCCGGACACCCCATGGGCTGGAGCTGGTTCTAAGGAGGAGGCTGCATGGCTGCTTCCCAATAAAGAAGGGAGAAAAACCGAGGGCTCAGCATGGAACCTGAAACTGGGCAGAGAGATCCAGATCCAGTTGCTTTTCCCGGAGCACACTTCCGCGAACCCGATTTGGCTGTCCTGTCCCTTGACCCCACGTTCCAGTCCCACAGATCAAGAGTCTGACAGGGGAAATGGTGTTTGGCATAGTTTGGGTGACTGCGATGAGGTCTGGGAGCTGAGTGTCCTGACCTACGCCCTTTCTCTTGTAGCTATGAAGAGTTCTACCTCTCCTGCTCCCTCAGCCATGGCGGCAAGGAGCTGTGCAACCCCCTGCAGACCCGAAGGGTTCACTTCTCCAAGTACCTCTTCCACCTCATCATCTGGGACCAGCAGTAAGACCTCCCGCCAGGCTCCAGTGCCCACTGCAGACCCTCTCAGCCTCCTGAATGCCCAGATTAAACCAGGCTCTGTCACGAACCCTAACCAAACAAGCCATTCAGACTCTTGAGACTCCACTTCCCTATCTTAAATGGGGACAAGTGTAATTTCTACCTCTCAAGTTGTTATGAGTTTCCAATGAGAAGTATCCATAAAGGCTTGTTGTAAACCATGAAGGACCATATAAACATTAGTTTTAATAATAATTCATTGTTTTGATCTTGTCTCCCTTAAAAGGTTTAACTAGTCTGAGGGAGTCTCATCTTCTCCCTTCTTCCTAAAGTTCTCATGGAAGAGGGAGATGGCACCATGGTTTCTTTCTCCCTTATAGATCTGGAAGGGCAGGCTGCCTAGAGGGAAGACTAATGCGCTTAGAGCTATAGGAATAAGGCTCTATTTCTAGGTCTGTCTCTAGTCGTATGTTCTCTCTGGCCTCTTTGGGCCTCAGTTTCTCAAACTGTAAAATGGGGACATTTGTTTAACTCAGAGGCAGTTGTGGCACGGAAATGAGGTAAGACAGGTTATAAATAGAAACATGAAAACACAAGCACAAGATAGTATTAACCACCGTTTATTAACAGTAATTTGCTGTCCGGAAGGTAGGCATCAGCCAAGCAAAACAGGAAGGAAATGGAGGCCAGGGTGCCTCGATGGTGACATTGCAGGAGCCTGTGTGCCTCGTGCCTTTTCTGTGCTGCTCCATCCTCCCTCCAGACAGTCAGCAAGCACCTTGTTTGCTCCCCGCAGCTTCACTTTCCCAGACTGACTTATCTCTGAGTCCTTATGTGCAAAGCAGAGCTGCAAATTCAGTATTTGGAGTGCAGGTTAAAGAGATTGAGGAGGGTCCTTGGGGAGGCCAAGGATACCAAAATAGGTGGATGGAGAGTCTGTGGAAATCCGGGGAGAGGTGGGCCATTTTACAGACGGCCAACGGGAGAGGCAGACCTTTTCTCCTGTCTTCACACATTTATGATTCTTAGAGCAATAAAGGTATAAATGAAGTCCTTTAATTAAACAATCACCAGAGCAGGAGAGACTCCTTGGAGGCTGAGGATGGCTACATTAAACGGCTCCCGAATTTCACCATCCCCTTGGGATTCTCTGGCCTCAATTACTACGTGCTTTATAGCGCTCCAGCCCAGGCAGACCTCACAATGAGCCTTAGACCCTTTCCCCACGGAGTATCAGAGGTGTGGAAGCAGCCCAGCATGTCCCACCTCAAGCTGCCTGCTCTGTGGTCTCATTCTACTCCCTGTCTGAATCTCCGCCTCAAATCCCATAGGGCTGCTATCCTTCCTAGAGCCTTGTGGAGGGTGTCATGTCAGCGCTGCCCCTCCAGATGCCCCGTGGCACCTTCGTGATCAAGACCAAGGCATGTGGGAGGAGGCAGTACAGTGTAGGCTTTGGGTGCCACCATCCTCTCCTTCTCACCGTAGGTGCAACCTTGGGCAGGTCATTCAACCCAAAAAGGACACGGTAATAGGGCCTACCCTATAGGGTTGTTTGAGAGCAGTTGAGACACTGCAAGTAAAGTACTTGGCACAGTACCTAGTACACGATAAATGCTTTCTTCTTTATCATCTTTGTTGTGTTCTGAGCTCTCTCAGTTCTGGTTTCTCTGTTCCAAGTGACTGGCACAGTGACTGACACATGGGGATGTTTGTGCATGAAAGTACTAAATGTATATAGCTCCGTTCCAGTGCAGTAACCACAGTGTCACATAGCAAAAAGCACCCAGTATATACACACATCACACAAGTGAAGCCATGTTCCCCTTTTCACTGATGAGGAAGCTGAGGCGCAGAGGTGTGAGTAGTTGCCCAAGGTTGTGAGAGGCAGAACCAGGACTGGAACCGGCACATCCCAGGAATGCTGCCCGGAGGAGTCAGCCCCTGTGATGCACTGTTGAGGAATGGGTTGCAGAAGGGAGGAAGTTCAGGGCTACAGCTAACCTACCGGTTGTCCTGACTCACCCCAGGTGAAGGTCCATGGGGGAGGTTTTAGAATACCAGCTATACCCAAGGGCTGAGGAGAAGGGGCCCTTGGTTGGTTCTAGCCATTATGGTTTCAGCTAGAAAGGTTCCTCACTCTCTTTTCCTCTGGATGCCCAGCTGGAAGCCGCTTCTTGGGTGAAAAGAAAGGGATCAGGGCCAACTCCGTCTCCTCTTTGCTGTGGGGTCAGCTGATTGTCTCCCTCACTGTAGCAGCATGGGGTCAGCTAACTCTCAAAATAGGCCCAGCAGCCTCGCTCTGCCACTGTAGCCGAGCCCTGGCCTGGCGTGCACGCTGGCTGCTGGCGGGGTCCTAATTATAGCTGTGGGCCCCCATGGTAGAGGCAGCTGGGACAGAGCAGGGCCCTGCCAGTCTGGCGGGAAGGAGAGAGTGCCTCACTTACGTGGAGATTCCCCTGGAGGAGTGAGGGGCAGCGGTGGAGGGAGGCTGCTTCATCATGAAACTGCTAACCTTGGGGGTGGCCGCCCCGCCTCTGTGCCCTCTGGCATAAAAGCTGCTGGGCCCTGGGCTGGCCAGAAGGGTGTGACAGTATGGACTTTTCCCAGGGACAGCTGCCCCGAAAGGTAATGTGGGTCCTCCCTCTTCCCACAGCTCCCCTCCCCTCTCCACCCACCCCACCCCGGGTCCTTATCCTGAACTTGGAGGGAGTAGCCGGGTGTGATTCAGGCGTGGGAGCACGGGAGAGACCATCTGGGCTTGGGTGCTGGCAAGGGCTTCAGTGTCAGTTCTTTGGGCCCCGCCCAAAGTTTGCTTTCTCACCACCCAGGGACTCAGAGGAGCCCCTTCTTTTTATCCCTTTGGCTTTGAAAATGTTTCGGGGTGAGAACAAACTATTTGCGTCCAATGGGTTAGGAGAAGAAGGGGACACGGGAGGACAGACAGGTGGGAGGGCCGTGGGGGAGGGTGCGCTGAAGGCGGAGATCATGCTGCCGCTTCCAGGCTGCTCTCAACCGAAAGAGGTGGGGGAGGGTTGGGGATTGTTCAGTGGAGAAGGATTGTCAAAAGGAGCAGCTTCTCGGTGACTGCAGAAATCCTAAAACAAGGGAAGGAGTATGGCTGACGGTATGGGGCATGTAAACACCTGAACTCTAGGTGGCCCTGGCCAAGTGAGTTCTGTCTGGTCACTGTGGGTAGCCTCAAAATCAGAGGATGTTTGTCTTACTCTGCCAAGAGGCGGCAAAGACATATAGACTGTGCTCCTGCAGGCATCGAGTGGAGGTTTTGCCTGCAGTTTGGGATCTGTCCTGGTTCTGCAGGAAGGCTTACCCAGGGAGCATATCGGGAGGCCAAGTTCTCAGCCTCATCTTGACTTCCTGGGCCACCTGGCCCTGGAAGCCACAGGGGTGCCGCTTCCTGATTTGGTTTCCTGTCCTCCCTAGGATCTGCTTCCCTGTGCAGGTGAACCGGTTGCCTCGGGAGACCCTGCTGTGTGCCACTCTCTATGCTCTGCCCATCCCCCCACCCGGGAGTTCCTCGGAGTCCAATAAGCAGCGGCGGGTGCCCGAAGCCCTGGGCTGGGTCACTGCTCCGCTCTTCAACTTCAGGCAGTATGTGGACCCAGGGCAGCTTGGCCTTGGCAGGGAGGAGGGGATAGGGAGAGAGAGGCCTGGCCGCTGCATGGGCCAATGCCCCTTGGGCAGGTTGGCCAGGTGGGGCTCACCGGCAGAGTCCAGAGGGTCCCAGCCCTGGTGGAGAGGACCAAGGCACAGGACTGGTGGCCAGCACAGTTAATGTAATCAAGAGCTACTGGGCAGGACTGGTGGGAAGGGTCATGGACATGCATGCTCAGGCAGCGTCATCTGGTCTTGTCATTGGAAGGACCTTAGAGGTCATCCAGTCCGGCTCTCTACGTCATGAAGGCATCCCTGCCACCAGGTCACCCAGACCAGGGAGGGTGTGGTTAGTTTAGGAAGGCTTCCTGGAGGGGGTGGGTTTTTGTAGGACTTGGAAGAAAGAGAAGGTCGTGGTCTGTGGGGGAGAATGAGAGAGAGGAGTTGGGCAGTGGCTTCAAGCAGAAAAGGCAGAGTTTTGGATAGGGAGAGCGGGAGGAGAACCATCTCCTTAGCGACTGGGTTTGTTGGCTTATCCCACCTTCCATCCTCCTTAGAGTCCTGACCTGTGGCCGGAAGCTTCTGGGCTTATGGCCAGCAACACAGGAAAGCCCCAGTACCCGTTGGAGTGCACCTAATTTCCATCAGCCAGATAGTGTCATCCTGCAGGTGAGACACCAGCCTCTCCCTCCCACCGACCCATCAGGACCACTCCAGAGCTGGCTCCATGTTTTCCCTTTGAGGTTTGGGCTGGGGCAGTAGGAGAAAGTGTGGAACTTTGCGCGTGGGATGATGAGACTGAAGCAACTAGGTGAACATGGTTAGACCCGGAGTGGGAGGGCAAGTTCTACGGAAGCTATGTCCCGTCTCCTTGAGGTTAGCTGATTTCAAGGAGCCTGAAGGCAGGGTCTGAGACCCTTGCCAACCAGGGCTCAGCTCTTCAGAGTTCCTTATATTGAACCCTAATATTACTAATCTGAGCCATCCCCTCTTGGGGCCCATGGGGAAGCCCTCCCCACAGCCACTCAGTGCTCTAGTGGGGTGGACCCATTCTCTGGGGACAGGAGGAGGAGCTGGTCAGGTCCAAGGTCTAGTTACCGTTTCTGGTTCCTTTTCTTGTGGTCATAAGATGCTTTGGTACGGAATATGGAATATCAAAGTGGATACAGAATGAAAGCTCCAAGAGGCAGGCGTTTTTATCTGTCTTATTTGCTACTCTGTGCCCAGGGCCCAGAACAATGTTCGGTACATATTAGGGTTCAATAAACATTTCTTGAATGAAAGAATGTGGAACTCCCTTTGAGGACTGGCTCCCTGAGCTCTGACATCCATTTTAGAAGGATGAACATGGCAGCAGAGAGCAAGGGAACCCAGCGTTGCAGGCTTCAGAGTTGGCAGAGCTCTCACCTGGCATGTGGTCCCACTTTCCATCAGGCAGTAGTGCCCTCCAAGACCACACTGAAGGCTCCCCAACCTCGGCGTGAGGCTCCCAGTGGCGCAGCCTAATGGCGCTTCTGTTCAGTTTGGCCTGGGGCCAGTCCCCTCGCCTAGATGCGTCCCAGCCCAACCTCTTCCTCACTTGACTGTTTTTCTTTCTCTCTCTCTGTTTCCTTCTCATTTTTCGCTGGAAGTTATAGCTGGAAGGGACTTTAGCGATCACCAAGTCCAACAAGGTTATTTTACAGACAAAGAATCTGAGGGTAAGGGAGGGAGGAAGGGAGGCAGGAAGGCTGGTGGGTAAAAGAAGAGCTGGAGACCCAGGTAGGTGGCAGCCCCACCCAGCTTCCTGTTCTCTCTCCTCACTTCCCTGATGTCATCTCCCAGATTGACTTTCCCACCTCAGCCTTCGACATCAAGTTCACCAGCCCCGCTGGAGACAAGTTCAGCCCCCGCTATGAGTTTGGCAGCCTCCGGGAGGAAGACCAACACGTGCTTAAAAACATCATGCAGAAGGAGTCCCTGTACTGGTGAGGCCCAGGGCAACCCCCATGTGTGACTCGGGCCTCTACTAAGTCTCTCGAGTTCTAACTGACCTTCTCTTACCTCCCAGCAGGTCCCTGTCCTCCTGCTTTGGGAGTCGAGGTGGGATAGGGTGGGCACTGCCGCCTAGGCAGGAAGTGGTGGAGAGAGGGCTCTGCAGCCCCCAGACGTTTTTCATGAGCTGACCTTAGGCAAAGTGGAGAGCTCACAGTCAGGATGTTAGATCTGGGAACACCCATCCCCACGATGGGGACTTGGCCCAGAATCAGCTTGCCAAGAGGACCAGAGCTTTGCCCCACCCCCAGATAAGCTGTGTACTATTTGCTGTCCATTGGGGCAGCTGGGCGTTATGCTTACCACCCTGCCCCCACCTCCTGCCCCTTCCACACCCACAGCCTTTGCATTTCTCTGGCCCTGTCACTTTCCAAAAAGGATCAGGTGTCAAGGCAAGCTGGCAGCTGTCAGGGGTAAGCGAGTCCAAGCTGATCTCATCCTTGGGGCTGCCTGTCTCACCAGTGTTGAAGAGGCTGGAGGAGCTGGTGGGATCTGGGCTCCTCCCCGGCCTGCTCTCTCCTATACCTCTCTGGCTCCTGCATGGCCCTTGCATGTGGCGGTTGGGGGAAATGAGAGAGATGGGGCTCATCTCTCTCCCTCGTGTCTCACCCAGGGCAGCCAGAATCACCGAGTGACGGCAGACCTCCCCTGCCCCCACTCCTCTGCTGACCCCTTGCTTCATCAGCCCCTGAGCTCCCTTCTCCCATTAGACACCTGATCTCAGGCAAGGCCCAATTAGCTGCAGGTCCTATAAAACCTCCAGCTGGCCCCAGGAAGCCCCAGGAGGCCTCTCAGCTGCCCAGACCCTGAGCAGTGGGGACCACTGCCCTCTGGTGGCTCTACTTGGGAGTGATGCCCGAAGGGCATCCTCAGGAGGGGTCGCGAATTCGGTGCCCTTGGCCCCTGCATGCTGCCTTGGTGTGAGATGTCCCTGAGTCAAGGATCAAAGATGCCATTTGGACCCTGGCTCCCAGAGTTCGCTTCACACATTGCAGTCACTTAGGGATATTTTTAAAATTACCGATGCCTGCCTTCCCCAGACATTCTGACTTAATTGGTTTTGGGTGTAGCCTGGACAAGAGGCGTTTATAAAGCTCCTCAGGTGATTGTAACATGCAGCGAAGTCTGGCAACTACTGAACTGGAGTGTGTCGCATTCTCTTGGAGCGTGAGTACCTTACCCTCTGGCTGACTCTGCTGTCTCTCTCACCTCCCCCTACCACTTCCACCCCCAGGCTCACTGATGCTGACAAAAAGAGCCTGTGGGAGAAGCGGTATTATTGCCACTCGGAGGTGAGCTCACTCCCCCTGGTGCTCGCTAGCGCCCCCAGCTGGGAGTGGGCTTGCCTGCCCGACATCTACGCTCTCCTGAAGCAGTGGACCCACATGAACCACCAGGATGCCCTGGGGCTCCTGCATGCCACGTGAGTTGTAACACCTACCTTTCCTGACCACGTGTCCTTCCAGAAGCCAGGGCTTGGCACTGCCCATCACTGACCTGGCCAGCTCTGGGGAGAATGGTCAAGTGGGCGTGGAAATTCAGGGCTTTTCCACTTCTCCTTTTCCCTTTCTTTATTTTATTCCACCCCCACCCCCCATGTTATATTATGAACATTTTTCAAACATACAACAAAACTGAGAATTTAATAGTGAACATCCATATTCCCACCACCTAAATTCTAACCATTCACATTTGTTATATTTGCTTTATTATGTATATACTGTCCATCAATACATCTTATTCTTTAATGCATTTTGAAGTAAATTGAGGCATCATAACTCCTTCCTAAATACTTTAACAACCATAACATTAACTACAGCTCAATGTTTGTTTATGTTGTTTTCTTTTGAGACAAAATTTACATGTAAGTAAATGCCCAAAGCCTTATGTGTACATTTGCTGAGATTTAACATATGCACACACCTGTGTAACCCAAACCTTATCACTTAGTTCTGCTCTTACAGTCCTCTCTTCCTTCGTTCCTCTGGGGACACAGGCTCCCAGTCTCAAACCCCTAGAATGGTTTATTTTCTTCCACTCTTAGTAATTAAAATGTACCTGATGCATGTATTTTGCCTTCAGGACTCTTTGAGGCAAAGGTTTTGCTAATCTCTGCTAAACTAATTCTGGCTAGGTGTACTGGCTTATATATAATTTCATGATCTCTGTTATTTGCCTGGCAAGCTTTGCATTAAAAGGATGGTACCAAGAAACGATAATGCTTTGACCCTCACGAGGGCTCTGTGATGATGGGATTTCTGGCACAATGGGAGTCAAGGAAGAGATCTTTGGGAGTGGGGTTGAGGACTTTATCCCATTTTCTTAACTCATACAGAGAGTGAGAGTGGCTTCCATGGCCCAAGGCTGACTCTGACCATGGGCCAGGGCCACTCTCAAGGGTTGCAATCCAGAAAAGGTGCTTACGACTCTTCTAGTGGCTTTGGCAGGTGCTGGGAGTCATTGCCATTTCTTCACCCATGGCTCTGAGGCCTAGGGGTGAGGGTGCTTCCTCACTCCTGTGCCTTAGACCCTGTGGCTGCATTGTCAGGGTCCTGGGCTCTATTTTGCAGGTTCCCAGACCAGGAGGTGCGCCGTATGGCTGTTCAGTGGATTGGCTCCCTCTCTGATGCTGAGCTGTTGGACTACTTGCCCCAGCTCGTGCAGGTGGGTGAGCTGGCCTTCCCTCCAGTTCTGATGGTCCCACCCCCAGGACCCCAAGACAGACTGCATCCTGCAGGGATAGCAGTTGGTGTAGATTACAGGCAGTCAACAAAGCCTCCTGTTCCCTCTCTCCTACACAGGCCTTAAAGTATGAGTGCTACCTGGACAGCCCCTTGGTGCGCTTCCTCCTGAAACGAGCTGTCTCTGACTTGAGAGTGACTCACTACTTCTTCTGGTAAAACTGTGTGCAGAAAGAGGAGAGATGGACACACCTCCTTCACTTGGGGGTGTTTTACTCTAAGCCTGCAAGGGTGGGGAGCTGAGCCATCTGGGTTGCAGTATGTGTCTGACTTACCAGGTGGCCTTGGGCCAGGACCTTTTCCTCGGGGGGTCTCAGCTCACCCGCATGTAAGCGCAGTGGGGATCATCCCTGGCCCTCCCCTGCACCCACGCACGGCAGAAATACAAGGAGAAACCAGATGCAGAAGGGCTTTGAGCCCTATTTAAAGACAGCATGGGCAGACTGAGGTGTGGCCGAACGCCTCTGTATAAGTTCTGCATCCAGAGCCTGTTTTCCTTCCCAAGTTTGGGGTGGGTTCTCCAGGCAGCTGGAGCTGGGTCTGACCACTCCCCACCCCCCCCTTGCCTGTTATCCTTTGAGTGTTCTGACTTCCCCCCCTCCCTTTGCCTGGTAGGTTGCTGAAAGACGGCCTCAAGGACTCTCAGTTCAGCATCCGCTACCAGTATCTGCTGGCAGCCTTGCTGTGTTGCTGTGGCAAGGGGCTGAGAGAGGAGTTTAACCGCCAGTGCTGGCTTGTCAGTACCCTGGCCAAGCTGGCCCAGCAGGTCCGGGAGGCTGCCCCGTCTGCACGGCCGGTGAGTGGGGTGAGGCTGCCTCTCCCCATTTCCGGTTCTGGGCCTCTGCAGCCAGTCGTTAACTTCTTAGGCATCCTGACCAGCAGGGTGGCACTTGACCATCTCTGGTGAGGGGCTGGAAAGAGGTGACTCCCTAACCTACAGGCTACAAACTGACAGTCTGCAAGCTGGATACAGCCCACGGAATGTGTTCTCTTTGGCTTGCGAAGTATTAACATTTTTATTTAACTGTTTACCTTCAAGGCTAAGCCCAGTTGTGTAAGTTGTTCACTGCACAAGAGCACCCAGCCAGAGGGGGCAAGTGAGGGCTAAAATTCAGTCATACTTTGTTCACTGTGCTGTGAGCCACGGCTCAGGGCTGCTACCACCCAGAGGGGGCACCTTTATCTGTTTGCACAAAGGGGTTGTATTAGACCAGTATTAGTGATCCTGGTTGCTAACATTTAAAAATTGGGAGATTGTGAAGTCTAGATGATTGGCTTTTTTGGCAACGGCCCAAGTGGCAACTCCTCGTTGACCTGTAGCCCACCCTCTCAGTTCACCGTGGGCTGCTTTAAGCTGTTCTGTCATCCACCCAGTCTCTATAGGTGTTTGGGCTGTGGCCCCGGCTGTGGTGTGGGTGGGGCAGTCTTCCTTCTTCACCGTCTCCAGGAGGTTGTCCACATCTCTCGGGTGACTGTTTCCATGCCAACCACTACTGGCACCCGCCCCTGGGAGAGGCCTGGCTCTGAGTGGAGCTTATGGGCCCCTCACCTCACCCCTGCTCTCCTTTCCCCACCAGGGGATTCTCCGCACAGGCCTGGAGGAGGTGGGGCAGTTTTTTGCCCTCAATGGCTCCTGCCGCCTGCCGCTTAGCCCCAGTCTGCTGGTTAAGGGCATTGTGCCCAGGGTGAGTGACTGGTGGGTTTGGGGCTCTTGGAGTGGGGAGGGCTCAGTGGAAGCCAGGTCCTCACTGACCTGGTTACTGAGAGAGATGAGGAAGAAAGGCATAAGTGGGGCCTCTTGCCAACGCTAACGTGTATGGACTTTTACCTGACAGCTCTGCGGGGTGGAGGAATTGGGTTGGGGCTGGGTAAGTGCCTCTGCTGATGGTGTCGGGGTTGAAGTCCAGGCTGGTGATGCTCCCACCTGTCATTCATCGAGCACGCACTCTGTGCCTGGCACTGTTCTAAGTGCTTTCCTTTGGTTATCACAGTTCATCCTCACGACTCTTAGGAAGTCGGTACTGTTGTGAGCCCCATTTTAGAGGAGTAAACTGAGTTATAGGTGGGACACACGACTTGCCAGAAGTCACACAACTAGTAAGTTGTGTGTGGAGTGAACCGAAGGGGTGAGAGAGACCAGGTGCAGGAGCTGAAGTCATAAACTGAACCAGGGTGATGGCGGTAGGGAAGGAGGGAAGGAATGTGGGCTCTGCAGAAATCTGGAAGAAACAATGAGCAGCAGCTGGTGGAGAGTTGGAGAGGCCGTTTTCCTGCCTGGGCCTGGGCCTGGGCCTGGGCCACCCTGACCCTCATCACTACCCTCTCTACTGTGGCAGGACTGTTCCTACTTCAACTCCAATGCAGTCCCCCTCAAGCTCTCCTTCCAAAATGTGGATCCGCTGGGCGAGAACATCCGTGTCATCTTCAAGGTGAGGACGCTTCTCTCAAGCCTGGTGGGATATAGATGGTAGAGAGAAGGAGAGGTGGGAATCCAAGGGTGGCAGAAGCAGCCTCGGGGCCATTCTCTTCCTACTGGGTCACACTCATGCTGCCATTTTAGTGCGTGAAAGACTATCGGGTGAAAAAGGAAATAGATGAATTGTGTGTGGCCCCAGAGGGCTAGGAACAGTGTTGGGATGTGTAAGGAGGTAACTGACAGCTCAATGTCAGAAGCGCTTTCTAGAAGGCAGAGCTACCTCAGCAGTGGAATGGATAAGGTGCTGACCTGGCTGTCCCTGGAGTATTCAAGCTGAATGACTATGGCAGGTGTGCTGAAGAGGAAATTCATAAATCAGGTGCAGGTTGGACCTGATGAATCTTAAGGTCCCTCTAACTGGTACATCCACGATTCTGAGGAATAAAGGATAGTCTCAGAGCGGACAATCCAGTGGGGGAAATGAAAGGCGTGCGTGACTTAGTGACATATATTTGTTGTGTGTAAGTTCCAAATCCAAGTTTTAAGGCTTTGATGGTCAGGAAGGCTGCATGAAGAAGAGGACCCTGACTTCAGTGCAAATGGGGACGTGGGGTTGGGGGAAGAGCTGGAACACCACACGGGCAAGATGTGGTTCCTGGCCCATCTCTGGTGTTTGACCTGGTGTGAGCAGGTTTGAGTGTGAGGTGGGAGCACTGAGCAGTCCCTGGTCACTAGTCTGGGCCAAGGTTGCCCTCCTGGGAGATCTGGGAGCTGGGGGAAGTGGGGGAGGTGGTTCTGGTCACTGTCTTCCTTCATCCAGTGTGGGGACGACCTTCGCCAGGACATGCTGACCCTGCAGATGATTCGCATCATGAGCAAGATCTGGGTCCAGGAGGGGCTGGACATGCGCATGGTCCTCTTCCGCTGCTTCTCCACTGGCCGTGGGAGAGGTCAGTAGGGAGTGGGCGGGGCGCTGACTGGGCAGCTGGCGTGGGGGGCATTCTTGCTTACTGCCCTTTTGCCATTCCCTGACGAGAACTGTGTGCTTCTCCAGAAAAATGAAAAGGACAAGATTATCCCATTAGAAGCTGTGGAATGACATTAAAAAAAGAAGGCAGAGGAGAGAGACTATTATAAAATAAAGCAGGCTTGGAGACATAACCAAGCAAACCGTGGAGACTTTGGATCCCAATTCTAACAAACCAACTGTAAACAGATACTTTTGGACACAGTTGGGGGAAACTTGCACGTAGACTGGGTTAGATCAGATCAGAGAATGGTCGTTGAATTTTTGGATGTGATAATGGCATGGTGGTTGTGTCCTTGCCAGTTATACTTGAAATACTTATGAGTGAAATGACATGTATGGGATTTACTTAAAAATACTCCAGCCGCGAATGGGGTAGGGGGAGGGTGAAAGAGAAGAGGGGGAAGTGAAATAGATGAAACAAGATTAGCAAAGTGTTGATAATTTTTGAAACTGGTTTTGTGTGAGTTCATGATACCATTTCTTTATTCTTATATGTATTTGAAAATCCCATAGTAAAAGTTAAAACAAAAAAGGATCATGGCTATGAGCTGGGGGGACCAAGGAGTCACAGCATGGAGTATGAAACCAGTTCCCTTTATTATCAGACTTTGTCCAAATGTCCTAGAGCTTTATTTGTAGGGAAGCATCCGGCAAAGCTCTTGGAGTCCTCTCCTGACAGACGCCTTGTCTCTGCTCTGGAGAGTGACTTGATGTCTCCCCTCACAGGGATGGTAGAGATGATCCCCAACTCTGAGACCCTGCGCAAGATCCAGGTGGAGCACGGGGTGACCGGCTCCTTCAAGGACCGGCCCCTAGCCGACTGGCTGCAGAAGCACAACCCTGGGGAGGACGAGTACGAGAAGGTAGGATTGAAGCGTGGGGGTGAAGCTGGGGTGGGATGTGCGTGACTCTGGCACACTGTGTTCCCACAAGGCCCACACATGCACAGAGAAGACAGCTCAGCTGTATTGGGAGGAGAGAAACACTCTTGGTTGACTGGTGCCCCCAGATGTCTAGAGGTGGGTCAAGTGACTTTTGTAAGCTGACCAAGAACATCCCCTGGTATCCAACTGGGAAGCCTTCACTGAGTTCCGCTGGCAGATTGAGTTTGGAGGAGGGGACCCTCTTAGTCACGATCCTATCCAGGTCCTCCCGTGTCCTGCGAGGAGTCCAGTGGTGCTTTGCAGAACAAGAGTTGGAAGAGACTTTAGAGATCATTTTATCCAACTCTTCTTTTCATAGATGTGAATTAAGACTCACTCATTTGTTCCCAGTTATGGAGCTGGTTTGTGACAAGCATGTAACCGGAAGCCAGGATTGAGGATAGATATGAGACAGAGATGATAGAAAAGGTAGCTGACCTTCCTCAGGCAGGGCTGTACTGGGTGGTAGGGCCTTGGTGACCTGCTGTGTTCTGGGGCTGGTCCACAGCTTCATGGCTTTTGCCTCTGGGTTAATTAAGTTTAGGGGAGAGAATAAATCATAATAACCAAGCTCATAAGAGAATGACCATAAACCAGAAGCGACCCATATACTAACTTATATTGATCAATGGCTTTTATCCCTGAAGGAGAACCTATGTGGGCAGCCAAATTACAATCAGAATGTTGTTTAGTGAACATGTAATTAGATGATCTTCTGAGGCCTTAAATGTTTGCATTCCCCAGGGTTTAATTCCTGGCCTGCTGTGCTCTTTGTACTCTTCTCGTGCCAGCTCATCATCTCTTATTACTTTACCACCCACTTGCTGATGACTTCCAAAGCCATTCCCTCTCCCCTCTCTCACCTCCCGATTGCTGGACCTCTCCTCTTGTGTTTCACCTGTATGTCAAACTCAGTATAGGCAAAACCGAGCTTTCTGTCTCTCCTTGTCCTCTTGAAACCTGCTTTTTGTGTTTCCTGGATGGTTTGACTCTCTCTGTGCAGTCACCCAAGACAGAGCCATGAGTCTTCTTGATGTTTCCTTCTGCCTCTCCTCTGCTTTACCAAGCCCTGTTCCCCAGATGTCTCTTGAACCTGTCCTCTTCTTACCATTTCTTAAAGCCATTTGCTTTCTGTCCCCTGAACTACTGGACTGCCTCTCCTCCTTCCATTACCATCCTCTGCTTGATTTCAGAGTCTTTTAAAATAAGGTGCAAACTGCTTATGTCACTCCTTTGCTCTCAGTTCTTCAAAGGCTCCCTGTGTCCTAAAAGATGAGTCTGTCATCCACAACATTGCCGCAAGGCCTTTTGTAATCCAGCCCTGCCTGCCCCTGTGGTCTCATCCACTGCACCTCCCCATCTTATGATAATTTATGCTGTAGTTTAGGGAGCTGCTTGCATTTCTTCAATACCTTTAGACAATAGTATTTCCTTTGCCTGGAAAGCCCTTTCTTCCCTTTCCCACCCCTCAAAACCCATCCTCTGTATGTTGTAAATGTTAAGGTCCTCTACCCTTGGAAAGGAGTGATATTGTTTCCTCCCTCCCTCAACCCTACATACTATTTATACTAACACGTATTTTTCAGGTATTAAGCAGCCACCATACAGAAGCACTGTGCTTGGTGCTGGAATTATGATTACTCCTTGCCAGTATAATAAAGAGTCATAATAAATATTATAAAAGCTTGTACAACAAGAATACACACAGAGGGCTTCCCTGGTGGCGCAGTGGTTGAGAGTCTGCCTGCCGATGCAGGGGACACGGGTTCGTGCCCCGGTCCGGGAAGATCCCACATGTCGCGGAGCGGCTGGGCCCGTGAGCCATGGCCGCTGAGCCTGCACGTCCAGAGCCTGTGCTCTGCAACGGGAGAGGCCACAACAGTGAGAGGCCCGCGTACCGCAAAAAAAAAAAAAAAAAAAGAATACACACAGAGAGAAACTAACTCAGTGTCTCAATGTTTAATATCAGTCTTTCAAAAATAGCTCTCAGCTCTTCTAGTCTTTCTGTTAGAATGATGCTGGTAGTTTCTTATGGTGCCTTCCAGGAGGAAAGAACTAGAGATACTTGTCTCTTGGCCACCTACTCAGCAAACCAAAGTACCTCCATCCTATAAGTGAAACCCCTTAAATCAGGAGAGCTCTCTTTATCCAGTGAGACTTCCTGCCAGTAAGCAGCCAACACCCTGCGTAACTTAGGTGATGAGACTTTAGTTACTTACTCTGTGGCAGAGTACAGGCATATAGCTGCTTTGTAAGTCAAAATAGGATGCCTTTCAGGTAGAAGGAACATCTGTGACATGAAGACAGGTTGATGGAGATGGTCAAGACTGGGAGTTGATGGGTTATACTTACTGAGTGGTTTCTTTTCAATTATATATTTCCCTATCATAGAAATCATCTCTTTCTTCCAGAAGGTACATTCTGTGATTTCTTTACAAACTTTCTATTCTTAACTTCCTAGCGATTAGTCAGCTGGTTTAATTTAACAAGTAGCCAGGGGATTTCTGTGTGTAGCTAGTTTTTTGGGGGGGTTTTTTTTGTTTTTTTTGCAGTAGGCGGGCCTCTCACTGTTGTGGCCTCTCCCATTGCGGAGCACGGGCTCCGGATGTGCAGGCTCAGGGGCCATGGCTCACGGGCCCAGCCGCTCCGCGGCATGTGGGATCTTCCCGGACCGGGGCACGAACCCACGTCCCCTGCATTGGCAGGCGGACTCTCAACCACTGCGCCACCAGGGAAGCCCTGTGTGTAGCTAGTTTTGAAGTAGGCCTGTGGAACAGCCAAGAGGCTGCTGGGAGATAAGATCCCTGGACCCTGGGAAAGTGAGAATACTAAGTTCTGAGTGAATGGTGCCTGTAGGGGCTCAATGGGGAGGAGTCAGTGCAGGCTGGTAAGATCTGGGAAAGGTGTGGAACTCAAGGAAGGTCCTTGAAGGCTGGGTGGAAGATTGCAGAGGGAGGTGGGAAGGGCATGTGTTCTATGAAGATTTCTCTCATTCCCAGCTTTGTCCATTCTTACTTGGCTGTGACAACTGTTGCCTCTGCTGATGAGTCTTTCTTGAGTTCTTGGGAATTCCAGAAACCTCACAAAGAGGATTTAGAGGATGAAAGGTGTCTATTCACTAATTCCATACATTTTTACTGGAAAGGCAGATAAGGGGGCAAACGTTGACCAGATAAAATAAGGTAGATCCAACCCCTGACTCCCTCCCCTCCTGCTTGAAACTCAGAAATTGCTCTAACACATTTTACCAACTGGAGATGTCTGATTTTCAAGTGTAAAACATCCCTTAGAAGTGTTAAGCTGCCTCAGCTCTTCCTTGGAGTGAAGTGACTTTAATTAGATTAGCATTCATCTGTTACCAAGAACAGTGCAAATGGGAGTCATACGGGGGGCAGGGAGAAGGACAGAAGAATTCCGAGCAGGGTCAGGAAGAGGCCCTTAAGTCAGTTGCCTCAGTGCTGTGCTTGAGTTAAGGTCACCACAAACAGCTGGGAAAGTTGTAAACGTCAGAGTCTTCCCTGATTATGGGCTGGTCAAGTCTGGGCTCCCGGATCAGTGCACTGTCTTTCCAACCAGTTTCCCAAGGAGAAAGAAAGGTGCAGAAGGTGGTGAATTGCAGATAACATGGTGGAGATATACCTATAAGCCTTCCATCTCCTTTTGCCCCATAAGATACGAGAGAAGTTTCTGTGTGCATCAGTGTGTACGTATGTGATGAAGGCTGAACAGGCGGATGTGAGAGCTGTTGGACTCATGAGAGAGGGGCAGGGCTGGCTGAATTCAGTCTGGCTGTGCCCCTGGGGTCTGTCCACACCAGCTTCATGTCCCCTTCTCCCCTCTGCCTTCCTTCTCCCAGGCTGTAGAGAACTTCATCTATTCTTGTGCTGGCTGCTGTGTGGCCACGTACGTCTTGGGCATCTGTGACCGTCACAATGACAACATCATGCTGAAGACGACTGGCCACATGTTCCACATAGATTTTGGCCGTTTCCTGGGCCACGCCCAGATGTTCGGGAACATCAAGCGGTAAGTGGTCTCCTGAAGCCAGGATGCGCGTGTAGGCCCGGGAGGTCAGCGGAAATGGTTCGGAGCTGGAACACGAGCCCGTGATGGGAGGGCCCGCGCTGCAGAGTGTGGTCCCTGGGCTGAGCAGCTTTGGAGAAGAGAAGACTGAGAAAGAGGTCAAGTCCTTTCAGGGCCTTGCAGAAGAGGGCAGGCACCAGCCATTGGCCCTCCCTGCTGAGGACTGAGCAAAGGGAAATGAGCCCAAACCACAGCAAAAGGGAATACAACTAGATATCCAGGGACAATATCACTAGCTCACAGGCAAGGAACCAATCAATGAAGGATGTGCTTGGGGATTTTTTAAGATTAAGGGAGGAAAAGAAAAACGAAAATGTTAGAGGAGCCACATCTATCCATTTCACACGGGTGTTGAGGGATGAGGAAAACCATCCCCTGATGCAGCCCACAAAGTGGGCTTCCTCCTTCATGTTGACCTTCTACCTGTATGTTCCCCTTGGCCCAGGGACCGTGCCCCCTTTGTCTTCACCTCGGACATGGCGTATGTCATCAACGGGGGTGACAAGCCTTCCAGCCGCTTCCATGATTTTGTTGACCTTTGCTGCCAAGCCTACAACCTCATTCGCAAGCACACCCACCTCTTCCTCAACCTTCTGGGCCTGGTGAGGAGCTCCATCCCTTTCTGAACCCCTCCTTCTTATCATCTGGCACCATCTTTAAGACTCCCTTGTCTTGCTTCAAAGGATTTCTGGAGATCTACTTCTCTGAGCCCTAGGTAAAGGCAGGGCTCAGACCACCTGGGGACAGTGGTGTCTGCAGGTATCTGACTTCCTGCTCCAGCCCCCCCAGTTCCTGTGGACTGCTAGCCACTGCCCACAGCATCTGCCTGCCACCCTCTAGAAGGGTTAGGGAGCCTAGCTGTAGAAAATCTTGCCTTATGGTAAGGAAGAAGCAAGAATTCCTGGTTGTTACAGGCATCCTCTCTTCTTCTTTGCTCTTCTAGATGTTGTCCTGTGGGATCCCTGAGCTCTCAGACCTGGAAGACCTCAAGTATGTGTATGATGCCCTGAGGCCTCAGGACACAGAGGCCAATGCCACTACCTACTTCACCAGGTAAAACTCTCCGTACGAAACAGTGCTGCCCACTCTGGGTAGTTAATTTCCAGGCTGCTGGATTGGGAAGAACAGGGCTAGGGAAACAGGAGAGGCTTAGCTCTGGTGGCAGAGCTTAGAGTTGACAACATGGGTCAGTGGTCCCAACTTTGCCTTTGACTTCGGTAAATCATTTTACTTCTCTCAGACTCAGTCTCCCATCTGCACTTGGGTGCTGACCTTTATATAGAGGTACTGCGATCCCCTACTTGCATTATCACCATGTCTCGGTCAAGGATTTTGTCTATGGGGCAATGTATAGTAGGGATTTTGTACTAGTTTTTAGCTCTCTGGATCAGAACGTTTCCCTTGTCAAAACATGGAATTCCATGGTTCTGTTTTCCCATATTTGACGTTCTAGACACACTTTGTGTGAAAGCAGGAAAGTGTCTGTATACTAATGTCTACTGTTTTTTGTTTTGCGGTACGTGGGCCCTCTCACTGCTGTGGCCTCTCCCGCTGCGGAGCACAGGCTCCGGACGCACAGGCTCAGTGGCCATGGCTCACGGGCCCAGCCGCTTCACGGCATGTGGGATCCTCCCAGACTGGGGCACGAACCCGTGTCCCCCGCATCGGCAGGTGGACTCTCAACCTCTGTGCCACCAGGGAAGCCCCTAATGTCTACTGTTTTGTCCATTATGCACCCTTTTTGGAACTTAGCGAACTAAACTTTCTCTGTTGGGTCTGATATAGTACCTTTCCTTTTGAACTAAAATCTCTGGATTGAGCTTTGTTTGGTGAGGTTCCATTATACTGAACCTTGAAACTCAGTTTGACAACAGTATTTAGACATTTACATGGTGAGCCCACGGTGGCGTCCCTAATTCCTTCCTACCTTGGTTTAATTGTCTTTGGGTCAGGTGGGCAGTGGGGAGAGATAAGACCCCAAGTTTCACAGAAATAAACTGTATGCTGATCATTGTGTGCAATCATGTACTCTATGAGGATATCACACAGGGAAAATGATCTGACCTGAGCTGAGTATTAGTCTCAGGTGTCAGGGGATATTTCTCGAGATAGCTCTGCCAGGCAGTGGGGACTTGGGTCCGTGGTCACATCCTTTTCTTCCCATCCTCCTTCAGGTTGATTGAGTCCAGCCTCGGCAGTGTAGCCACAAAGCTCAATTTTTTCATTCATAACCTGGCTCAGATGAAGTTCACAGGCTCAGACGACCGGCTGACCCTTTCCTTTGCTCCCCGAACACACACTCTCAAGAGCTCTGGCCGCATCACTGATGTATTTCTCTGCCGCCACGAGAAGATCTTCCACCCTAACAAAGGCTACGTAAGTGTTTTCTCTGATCTGACCCTCCTTTGCTCCCCACTGCCCCAGCTTGTTGGGGTTCTGACTGTTTCTTCCCTTCCACACTGTGGGTGCTGGAGTTGACTGAGCACCCTGTGCTGGGAGCAGTCACACACCCCTTCCTTCTCCACTGCCCAAGTGGCCGGCCTACAATCAGGGAGCTGAGTTGGATGGCTGTTCCCTCTGAGTCAAGGGTCTTGTGAAACAAGGATTCTTGTTAATCTTTGCTTTCAGTTTGCTGCATATGTATATTATCTTTGTCTCCATTAGAGACATTTTTATCCTCTTCCTTCTGGAAAGCGTAACTCCTCCAACACATGTGTGTGTGCGCGCACGCACACACACACACACTTCTGTCCCCTCACCTACCCCCTTCATTGGGTGTAGAGGGTTTGGCAGGGAGTATTCTCTAAGATTTGGATTTTGCAGATTTACGTGGTAAAGGTGATGCGAGAGAATGCTCACGAGGCCACTTACATCCAGAGGACGTTTGAGGAGTTCCAGGAGTTACACAATAAGCTGCGGCTGCTCTTCCCTTCTTCCCTCCTGCCCAGGTATCTGTGGCCTTTACTCTCTGCACTGAGGGATACTGCGGAGGGAGAGCGGATGGGGGCTGGGCAGGACTGCGGGAGTGAGATACTGCCCTTTGGAGAAAAGACCTATGTCCTTGGTTTTCTCCTCCTGGCAATGAGTTTGATGACAAGTGCTCCCCCTGCTGGTCATGCTCTTCTGAGGCTCTCAAGAGGTCTTCCTCCAGCCTTGAAAATAAGCTTGGGTCCACCTGCCAGGAGAGCAACCTGGGTCTAAAGGCAGGGGATTGACTGAATCTGAAGATTTTTCGAAGTTTCTAATCTTCTAAAGAGTAAAAGTATGTTTCAAATAGATAAACAAAATGCAGTGTATATACAAAATGGAATATTATTCTACTGTACAATTCCACTTACATGAAGCACTTAGAGTAGTCAAATTCATAGAAACAGAAAGTAGAATGGTGGTTGCCAGGAGGGAGGGGGAGTTGTTTAATGGGTATATAGTTTCAGTTTTGCAAGATGAAAAGGGTTCTGGAGATGGATGGTGGTGATGGTTGCACAACAATGTAAGTGTACTTAATTCTGAACTGCACACTTAAAAATGGTTAAGACGGGGGAATTCCCTGGTCGTCTAGTGGTTAAGACTTCCCCTTCCAATGCAGGGGCTGTGGGTTCAATCCCTGGTCGGGCAGCCAAGATCCCACATGGCTCGAGGCCAAAAAACCAAAAAAAAAAAAAACTATAAAACAGAAGCAATATTGTAACAAATTCAATAAAGACTTTAAAAATGGTCCATATCAAAAATATATATATTAAAATAATGGTTAAGATGGTAAATTTTATGGTATGTGTATTTCACAACAATTTATAAAAGCGATTTTTCAAATGAATTTTTACCTTGATGGGGAAAACTGGGGGCTCCAGAGCCGCTGAGGCACCTCTGGAGAGCTGTAGGACTCTGTTCAACAGTTTGTTTTTCTCATCCGGTGTCCTAGGAACTGTCTGGTGTGAGATGCTGCGTGTGTGCCCTTGGCACAGACCTGGGGAGCTTGGGGAGGCATGGAGTCCGGGAAAGGTCCCTGGGAATGGAGGCTGGTGAGAAATGCAGATCAGGTGACTGAAAATGCAAGTGAAATGTGACTAAATCCTGTTGCCTCTTCATTATCTTTCCCCATCTTCCCCCTCCTGCATCGCCACTGCCCACCTGCCGTGCAGCTTCCCTAGTCGCTTTGTGATTGGCCGCTCACGGGGAGAGGCGGTGGCGGAGCGGCGGAGAGAGGAGTTAAATGGCTACATCTGGCACTTGATCCACGCAGCCCCTGAGGTGGCCGAGGTGGGTGGCTGCCTCTGTTCCTGGCTGTCCCTGGCGCTGGTGGGGGGTGGGGGATGCGGACGGAAGCGGGTGGCAATCATGGAGGGGACTTGGCTTTTCTGGGTCTGTGTGCAGAAAGAGGTGGGTGGGTCGTGGCTCCAGCCCCACGGGGCTATGCACAGAAATGCAGTGAAACACAAACATGCAGCTGGCACGCGGAGAGACATGTCCGTGTTAGGTGCTTGTAGTGAGCAAGAGCCTGAGGAAATGGAAGGTTTTGAGCAGGTTGAGTGTGTGTATCCGCCTAGATTTTTCTTTAAACAAATGGTCCTATAATGGGCATAAAGACAAATACAGTCATCCGGAGTCCCATCAGCCTAAAACACCATCTGACCCCATTTCCATGTTTCCTTCCTATTTATCCATATATAAATGTGACTTTTCTAGTTTTGTAGTGGTCATAGCTTAAATATGATGCTATATTCTGTTCTTTTTTCACTTAAGTGTTTATAGTAAGCATAACTTTAACTATGTGTACCAAATTAATACACCAACTTGCAATACCGTAATGTCTTTAACCATTCGCTTCTTGAAAGATATTTAGATCATTCCCCTCCCCCCTTTTTTCACTCTTAATGCTAGAGTGGGTATTTTCACACATTTTAGTTTTTGGTTTTGTTTTCCCTAATTGCTTAGTAAACATTCTCAAAAGTAGGATTCATGGTCTTTGTCCAAGGCTGGGTCAGGCATTAGTTCCCCGACCAGGGATTGAACCCTGGCCTGCCAGCAGTGAAACGCCAAGTCCTACCCACTGGACTGCATGGGAATTCCAAGAACAGACTGCTTTTGCCCCGATGTGACCTACTTTTATTTGATTTTTTTTTCTCTTTTTTACACTTTTGTATTATGAGAACTTTCAAAACATATAGGAAAATAGAGAAACAGTCTAATGAATGCCTGTATGTCCATCACTTAAACAGTTATTATTTTGACGTGTTTGAGTCATCTCTTTTTTATGAAATATTTTAAAGTAAATCACAGACATCGTGACTTCTACCCCTAAGTACTTACTATGCATCTCTAAAAAACAAGGACATCATCTTACATAACTACACTGTCATTATATCACCCCAAACATAGTCCATATTCAAAATGTCCCTGTCATCTCCAAAATTCTTTTAACAGTTGGTTTGTTTGAGCCATGACCCAAACAAGAACTGCAGATTACATTTGGTTGTCACATTTCATAGGTCTCTTTTAATGTGGAACAGTCCTTTTCCTTTTTTCACTGGGCCATTGTCTTACTGAGGAATGACCCTGTTTTCTGATTCCATTCCAGTGTGATTTGGTGTACACCTTCTTCCACCCCCTGTCCCGGGATGAGAAGGCTGCGGGCACCAGCCTGGCTCCCAAGTCCTCAGGTACAGTGCCTTCTCTGTGACATTTCTGCCAACCTCTCTGAACCATTCCCAAAGGTCATTTTTCCTGCCCCTGCCCCTTCCCAGTTCTCTTTCCTTGACTCGTCTCTGTTCCTTTGCTTACTGGCTAGAGAATCTGGTTTCCCACTCAGGCTATGGGTCCACAGCTCCTTGAGCAATTCCCCAGGGACTGGATATGCTTACACACTGGAATTGGATAGACGCCCCCAACCCGACTCTGCGTCATGTTCGCGGATGCCACTTGGCAGATCCCCGATGGGGTATCAGGACTCTGACGTGGAGTTACTGGCGGGGGGTTAAAAGAAAACAGAAACGTCTGCCTGGCACCAGATGGGGACGGGGCTGGCCTCATGACCTTTCTCAGTTTCCTTTGTCCCTACAGATGGCACATGGGCCCGGCCGGTCGGAAAGGTTGGGGGAGAGGTGAAGCTGTCCATCTCCTACAAAAACAACAAACTCTTCATCATGGTGATGCATATTCGGGGCTTGGTAAGTGCATACACAGTCCTCCTTTGGACCTTTATCTTTCTTCTGGTACTTTTCTGACTGATCCGACCTTTTCTGCCCCCCTCTCGTGAGAGTAACCACAAAGATTACTGAATGAATACCCAATGGGCCTGCTACCGTGCTAGGCCTATGGTATGACCAAGCAATACTAGACACAGCTTCTTACTACCTGTGGTCTTTGGCAAGTAGCCCAATTACCGTTAGCCTCGTTAAAATGAGGATAATGTTAGCACCTATCTCATAGGGTTGTTATAGGGATTAAATGAGATAATGCATGTAAGAGCACTTGACATAGTGCCTTGTATCATTATTATGGTGATTATTATAAGGGAGAGGCCCAAGGGGCTTATTTCCTGGTTATAGAGGTAAGGCAGCCATGTGACATCCTTCAAGCATAATCAAGGCAGAGTATAATCACTAAATTTTTGGTATGATTCTAAGAACCTTGTGAGTGGAAGGGGAAGGGAACTCTTATTGAATACCACGATGTGCTGGACTTTTGCAGGTTGGGGCATTAGTATGTAGCAGGAGGTACATGAACTTTGGAATCAGAGAGATCTGGGTTTCGCTCTTACAGAATCATTCATTCATTTTATTCAACAAATCTTCATCAACTGCCTACCGTGTGCCAGGCACTGATACATTATCTCTGGATACAAGGGTAAACAAAATAAAATCCCTGCCCTCAGGGAGCTTACATTCTAGTAGGAAGAGGCAGACAGACAAATAGTTAAGTTAAATATATGGCAAGTCAGATAGTGGTAAGTGCTCTGGCGAGAAATAAAGCAGAGAAGGAATACCGGGGTGGAATGAAGCTAGCAGCAATTTTGCAGTGTTCAGGGAAACCCTCATTGATGAGGAGGTATTTGGGCAAAGGTGGAAGGAGGTGAGGGAGGGAGCCATGCATATACATCTGAGGGAGGATTGCTCCAGGCGGAGGGAGCAGTTGAACCCAAAAGCCCTAGTCAGGAGCCTGCTTGGGGCATGTCAGGAACCGCAGGAGGAGGCCAGTGTGGCTGAAGCCCCTGCAGCAGAGGGGAGAATAGCAGATGGTGAGGTTGGAGAGGGCAGACCAGAGCCTTGGTCCCACAGTCTAGAGCGTGGCTTCTCCGTGAGTGAGATGGGAGCCCTTGGAGGGTTTTGCGCAGAGGCGTGACAAGATCTGACTTAAGTTTTAAAAGGATCAGGCTGAGTGAATCACTAATTGGCTGACCTTGAACAAGCAACTTAATCTCTCTGACTCATTTCTCTACCTCTTAGGGGTTACTTGGATCAAAATAGACAAAAGATATTGGGCAGAGATATCTGGGGACATGATGGTTCATTCAGAACAGACCAAGTTATGGCGTGCCCTGAGCATTCGTATACAAAGTATAGACTGGATATCATAGGCAATCTGATGGATGTTTTAGGAGGACACCTAACGTTACCGTGGTAGGTGTTTCTAGCAGAATGCAGTGGGCTGGGAAGCATAAATTATTGTGCATTGCAAGAAGCTAGGTGTGGGAGAAGAGGGTCTGGATCAGGGAGTGATCACAGGTTTGGTGATAGAGAGACAGATAGAAAAACCTTCATCTTTGTTTTTTTGGTTTTCATTCCCTTCGTAGCAACTGCTCCAGGATGGGAATGATCCCGACCCCTATGTCAAGATTTACCTCCTTCCTGACCCTCAGAAAACCACTAAGAAGAAAACCAAAGTGGCCCGGAAAACCTGCAACCCCACCTACAATGAGATGGTATGTGGGGAAGGTGCTGGGTGGGGCTGGGGTTGGCCGACTGTGCCGGTTTGTAAATAAAGTTGTATTGGGATGTGGCCATTACTATTCATTTAAGTCTTGTCTGTGGCTGCTTTCATGTTGTAGCAGCTGGGCTGAGTCATCGTGACATAGATCAGAATGTATGACCTATAAAGCCTAAAATACTTCCTATTTGGCCCTTTATGTAAAAAAGTTTGCTGACACTTAAGGTAGGGATTCCACAGCTGCGGCATGGTCTGTGGGGAGGAAGAGCCTGCTGGTCCTTTGCTGATAATGAGCTGTGGCCCCAATGACAAGCCTTCATTTGCTTGAACTCTGAGCTAAGAGCAGGGGTCTTTATTTATTTTTTATTTATTTATTTGGCTGTGCCAGGTCTTAGTTGCAGTTGCAGCATGCATGTGGGATCTAGTTCCCTGACCGGGGGTCGAACCTGGGCCCCCTGCATTGGGAGTGTGGAGTCTTATCCACTGCGCCACCAGGGAAGTCCGCCCAAGAGCAGGGTTCTTTAAGCTTCCCTTGGGCTCTGTATGCTTTCTCTATTCCCTCGGGCTCTGTCTGGTTGGGGAGGTAAAGTGGTCTCAGCCAGATCAGATCACACCACCACAGACTTAAGCATCTCCCCCTTCCATGTTCCCTCTCTCACTACTTCCCTTTCTTCCCAATTTTGCATTTGCAGCTGGTATATGATGGAATCCCCAAGGGAGACCTCCAGCAGCGGGAGCTACAGCTGAGTGTGCTGAGTGAGCAAGGATTCTGGGAGAACGTTCTGCTGGGGGAGGTGCACATCCGCCTGCGAGAGCTGGACCTGACCCAGGAGAAGACCGGCTGGTTCGCACTGGGATCTCGAAGTCATGAGACTTTATGAGCCCAGTGGAGCCGTGGCCCAGGACCCCAGGCTCATGGCAGAGCTGGAGGAGAGGACTCTCCCTGCTTGACTTGCCCCTTCCTTGTGTAGGGGCAGGGCCCTCGGTGGGGCTTCCCTCTGTCCCGGCGGATCGGGCCTCCGTGGTAGGAGGCAAGGAGGGTAAAGATGCTCTCTGCTATCCGCTCCTCTGCAGACTGCATTTGGGTTGGTTGTGATGAGCAGCCCCTTGGAGGCTGTGAGGGTGCAGCAAAGTTTTAAGTTTACCTTGTGTCAAGGGAGCAATGCCTGGTTTGAGGTGTGTGGGGTGGGCTGTAGAAGTAGCATTTGGGGGGAGGGTGGGTGGATATCTTTATTTTTATTTTTAAAAAATGAAATAGTAACGTTGTCCTAACTGGACAGGAAGCCTTGTGAGAAGGGACTTACATGTGCCTCAGAAGGCAAAAGAGGAATTGGACTTTTTGTATGATTGAGGTTCTTATTGGACTTTTCCCTAGGATTTTGTTTGTTTGTTGTTTTTGCATTTCTATCTATAGGAATTATTTGGGGAGGGGCCCAGTGGGCCCTCAGTTAGTGCCCTCCGTCTCTGAGGCAGGTCAGGAGGGACAAGGAGGGCTGCGTGTGCTGGACTGAGGCCTGCGCCACTGGGCCTTTCTGATTTTGCCTCCAAAGGAGAGCGATGTGATACCTTCGTGTGTAAGGAAGGGCGCTCCGTATGGAGGTCTGTAGAGGACCTGTGTTCAGGGACCTGGGCTCTTTTGGGGGGAGTTTTTCCTCTCGTCTTCCCCTATTTTGCTAGGACTTGCCCTGAATACTGTCTTCTACCCCTCCATTCAGCTCTTCCGGGGGTCATCTGGTCCCTGTGAATACGCCTGGGTGCTCCCCCATAGGTCTCTCCCTTCATTTTTCTCTGGTGGGATAAACTGCTGCCTCGGCCCTTAGGTTTGGTTTCACCCCAGGGTGTCTTGGCCCTAGGAATGGGCCTCTAGGCTGCAGACGTCAGCGTGGCTGGCTGTTGGGTGGTTTCTGGGAAGCTTTCCTCGTCATCCACCACTCCTTTTGTTTTGCTGCTTCTCTCCCAAACTCCATTTCTGTCACATTTTTTTAATAAGAATTTCTCTCATTCTATGGGGCCATAAACCTATTTTGTCTGGAGCCAAAGGGATGCCCCAGCTGAAGAAAAGGGGTGCGGGTGGGGAATCCCATCAAAACTGTTGTTTTTGCCAGTGATTTTCTTTGGTTGTGAGGAGGCTGGATTGAGCTGAGCTGGAAGGGAGAGACTGGGTCTCTGATCTCTTAATACTCTTCATTCCCTACCAAATGGATTTGAAATTCACTCGTGCGCTTTACTCCGAAAGGTTGTCTTCCTAGAAAAAAGGAGAGACTTTGAATTTGATATTAACTTTCTAAGTTGGCTGGTTGTGCCCGGTGACTGGGGAATGGAGTTAAGTGGGGATACGATGTGGACTGTCCCTCCCCAGCTCCAAGGATCAGAAATTCCCCCTTTCGCTGACTCATTCCATAACTAGAGAAAGAAGCTCCATTCATTGAAGCCACAGAGCAGCAAGGAAGTTGAAACTTTTAAATTTAAAATGTAAAGGATAAAGCTGGCTGCTGTGGGCAGGGGTTAGGGGAGTGGAGAACAGAGGTGGAACTTCTCTAGATGAATGGACCAGAGATGTGTTACTGGCTTTTTGCCTGTAGCTCATTTTACTTTGACCCTCTATGCCCCTGTTAAAGAGAGAGGTCTGTGTACTGTACCCACATCCCAGACATCCTTTTTCTCCTACTTTCTCTGGAATTGTATTTTCTAATAAATGATGTTTAGAAAAACAAAACTATCATTTTCAAGATTCGTTGATGTTTAAATGTCTAGATTAAAACATCTGATGTACAAGATGAAGATAATAATGATAGTAGTGTTTCTACAAATGGTAACTTTTATATGCACTGGTGTGGTGCACCGGGCATTTCACACGTGTCAGCTAAATCTTTCCTTAAAACAACTTGATCAGGTGAGTATTATCATCCCCAGTTTACAGATGAAGAAACTGAAGCCCAGAGAGGTTAAGTAATTTGCTTAAGGACATAGCCAGTCGGCCTTGGCTCTAGAATTTGAACCCAGGTTTATTTGACTCTTGAGTGTTTTAATATACATGATGTCATTTTTCATTGCAACTACCCTGGAAAGTAGACATGGCTCATTTGTTAATTCTGTCAACAAACTTCTACTGTGCTTACCAGTGTTACCAGTGCTACCAGGTGGCGTGCCTCCATTCATAAAGAATACAGACCTTGGAGCTGGGCCCTGGGCCCTGTACCAGGTAACTGGCTGTGGGTTACAAAGATAAATTAAGATAGTTCTCTGCATTTAAGAAGTTTACTGCCTAGTGATATTTAACTAACCCCATTTCATAAGAGAAGGAACAACCCCTGAGATGCCATGCAACAATTACGTTGTTAGAGCAGAGCTGTAGCCCAGAACTGAACCCCAAGTGGAAGCTGGAGGTGACATGACCCTTGTTCAAGCAGTTTACCCAGAAGTTTTCAAAACTCTCCGGTGTGGAGTCATATTTCATGCTGGGAAGTTTTGTGGGGTTTCCAAGGGACTTTTAGTAATAACAGTAGTAAGTGATAACCTACCTGCTGTGTTTCTAAGTGGTTTTGAGGTGTCACTGCAGTTCTGGGCAAGTCCCAATGGACCTTTTAAAAGTTAGAACTTGAAACCGGCAAGAGTCTTAGTTAAGGAAATTTCTTGGCCAAATGGGGTAGAAATCTGAACCACCCAGAGGGAGTGGGAATGAGGGAGCCGGGGAGTTGGGGGAGAGGGGAGGGGATGCCCAGGGAGAAGAGAAACAAGCCCAGGAGACTGGATTTTCTGCGTTCAAACAGAGGTGGTAAAAATGAAGTAACTGGACTTGTTAGGATTTAGGAGCTAAGGGTTAGACTGGACTTGAAAGGTCAAAAGCGAGGCAACATTTTAAGTTGGGAGGTAATTCTGGTGCCTGGGGACTTGTCTGAGGTGTCTGTCCACAACACTAATGGCCTTCTCTGGGTCAAGTGAGTACCAGGCACTGTGCCTACTAAGATGACAAAGGTGTGGATCGCGTCCTCAAGGAACTCACAGTCCAGCTAGGGAAGCAGACATGGAAACAGATGATTACAGTGCTGTGTCTCAGGGACGGAGGTTGAAAAGGGGAGGGGTGGGCAGGCGGAATGGGAGCTATTTGAACTGGGTTCCATCAGAACTCTGGATTTCATTCTTAGTGTGACGGGGATGCCATTACAAGGTTTTGAGAAAGGAACTGCAGCACTCTAATTTATGTTTTCAAAGATCCTTCTGGCTGCTGTCTGAAGCAAGAATGGAAGCAGTAGTCTAGGAGGGGAATGAGAGTAGCATGGGGATAGTGAAAGGTAGTTAGAATCTGGATATATTTTGAAGGTAGAGCTGACAGGATTTGCTGTTGGATTGGATGTGCGGTTGAGGCAAAGAGGAATTGAGGATGACTCCTAAGTTTAGGGGCTTGGCAACTGGATGAAAATGACTGTGGGGGCATTATGGGATGGGGAAGATGGGCTTGGTGGATCACAATTAAGGGTTTTGATCATGGTAAGTTTGAGATGTCTGGATATCCAAGTAGAGAAGTAGGAGGATGGAATCTGAAACCCAATGGAGGGGTCCGTCTGGAGTTTAGAAGTGGAGGTCAGCATTTAGTTGGCATTTAGTGCCATGGAACTGGATGAGATCACCTAGGTTAGAGAGGCTAAAAAGAAAAAAGCCACAGGTGACTGAGCTCTGATACAGGTCAACATTTAGAGGAAGAGGAGGAGTCGCTGAAATTGTAGGGAAACCAAGGGAATGGTGTCATGGGAGTCTAAAGAAAAGTATTGTCAATATCCTAGGGCTGCTGTAACAAAGGACCACAGACTGGGTGGCTTAAACAACAGTCTCACAGTTCTGGAGGCCAGAAGTCCAAGATCAAGGTGTCGGCAGGGTTGGTTCCTTCTGAGAGTTGAGAAGGAGAATCTGTTCCATGCCTTCTCCTAGCTTCTGGTGGTTTGCTGGCAATCTTTTGCATTCCTTGGCTTGTAAGTACATCATCCCAGTCTCTGCCTTCATGTTCACACGGAGTTCTCCCTGTGTGTGCACATGTGTCCAAATTTCCTGTTTGTGTTAAGACATAGTCTTGCTGGATTAGGGCCCACCGTAATGAGCTCATCTTAATTTACAAAGACCGTATTTCTAAATAAGGTCACATTCATAGGTACTGGGGGATTAAGACTTCAATATCTTTTAGGGGAGTGCACATCAACCCACAAGTCAGAGAACTGGATTTGGCAAAATGTTCTTAGTGATCTTGATGAGAGCTGTTTTAATGAGTGTTGGGGATGAAAGCCACATTGGAGTAGGCTGACGACAGAATAGGTGTGGAGAAAGTGGAGACTGTGAGAATAGACAACTCTCGAGAAATTTTTGCTGTAGTGGTGTAGAAACTCGGAGGTGCAGGAGAGATTTTCTTTTTTTTTTTTGTTTTTTTGCTTGTTTGTTTTAAGATAGGTGATATTAACCCATGTTAATGTGAGTGTTCCACCAGCTTAATGAATAAACATTGTGAAACAGTCTCGGTGTAGGAGATGCAAAGCTGCTAAGGAACTATCTAGGGGGACTTACCTGGTGGTCCAGTGGTTAAGATTCTGCGCTTGCACTGCAGGGAGGTGCAGGGAGGTGCCTGGTCTGGGAACTAAGATCCCACATGCCGTGCTGCCAAAAAAAAAGGAACTATCCAGGAATGCCCGGCATGGATGAAATTTGTCATTACAAATAGGAAGTGAGTCAGTCAGCATGTCTGAGTGCTTTTCTCCAGCAATGGCTAGCTGCAAGGGGGTAGGCTCAGAATAAGTGGACAGTTGGGTTTCACTAGGGTTGGGGTTTTGCCAGAGAAGAATATTGGTGTAGAGCACAAGAATGAAGGGTTTTTGCAAGGGGGTAGTTTCATACTGGACCATGGAATTCATCCTTGGGTAAGGAGGGAAGTGAAGGAGGGTGATGAATCACAAAAAAAGTGGTAATGGCAATGGTTTGGAGGTTTGGGGGGCTGGGGGCTGGTGATAAGTACCTGAATAGGGATTCCAAGGCAGCGAGCTGGAAAGATAGGAGGTGGTTTCCGGAGTGTGGGTACTTGGAAAAAGATTTTGGAGGTGGTACTGACTGAAAAATGAAGTGAAAAGGTATACACCCTTTACCTCAGGCCCTGCAAAATCTTTAAAAATAAAAATAATTAGCTGAGGTTTAAATTATCTTCTGCCAAAGCGCCAGTCAGCTGAACTGTCTAAAGACTTCTTGTCTTCACCAGCACGCACACAGCCCTGGCAACACAGCGCTATCTCTGCAAACAGGGCTGCCCTCCCTCTGCCACCTGGTTGATAGCGGGCTGCAGGAGATGGTTCACACTTTAGTTTCCTGCAGAGACTGACAAGGCAAAGTCACATATTCTTAGACTTTTCTAGTACTTTATGATTGCATTTTTTCCCTTTAGAGCAACTTCCAAGGTAAGGAAGATAAAAAGTATGTATCCAATGACTAGATGGGGAAGGAAAGGCCCATTCAAGATGTTTTAAGGAATATTTGGGGGGAGGCTCATGGTGTTAGTGATAAATTTGAGAGTGGAATGTAAAAGTCTTGGCCGTAAGGAAGATGCTGTTATTTTAAAGTATTATTACCCTTCCATTCATTCAACAAACGCACCTATTATGTGCCAGTCAACATGCTAGGTCAGTGGTTCCTAAACTTTTTGGTCTCAGGACCCCTTCCTTTATACACTCTTAAGAATTGTTGAGGACCCCAAAGAACTTTTGCATATGTAAATTATATCTATGGATAATTATTGTTTTAGAACTCAAACCTGAGGAATTAAAAAAATATTTATTTAAAAATAACAAACCCATTACATGTTAACATAAATAACACTTTTTTTTTTTCTTTTTTTTGTGGTACGCGGACATCTCACTGTTGTGGCCTCTCCCGTTGTGGAGCACAGGCTCTGGACACGCAGGCTCAGCGGCCATGGCTCACGGGCCCAGCCGCTCCGCGGCATGTGGGATCTTCCGGACCGGGGCACGAATCCCTGTCCCCTGCATCGGCAGGCGGACTCTCAACCACTGCGCCACCAGGGAAGCCCCAACATAAATGACACTCTTAATGAAAAAAATTTTTTTCAAAACAAAAAAGTCTAGCAAGAAGAGTGGCATTGTTTTACTTTTTTTTCCAAATGTCTTTAATATCTGTCTGTATAAAAGACATCTAGGATCTCATATCTGCTTTTGCATTCTGTCTGTTGCCAGATCCCATATCATGTGTTCTCTAGAAGGTACATGTCCACTATATACTCATGAGAAAATGTGAGTTAAAAAGGAAAATAGGGGACTTCCCTGGTGGCACAGTGGTTGAGAGTCCACCTGCCGATGCAGGGGACATGGGTTCGTGCCCCGGTCCGGGAAGATCCCACATGCCGCAGAGCGGCTGGGCCCGTGAGCCATGGCCGCTGAGCCTGCGCATCCGGAGCCTGTGCTCCGCAACGGGGGAGGCCACAACAGTGAGAGGCCCGCGTACCGCAAAAAAAAAAAAAAAAAAAAGGAAAATAACAGCTTAGTATTATCATGAAAATATTTTTGACCTTGAGGATCCTCTGAAAGGGTCTTAAAATGGGATCCCCAGGGGTGCCCAGACCATACTTTGGGAACTACTGGCATACAGCCCTCAAGGAGCTGAGACCAGCAAGAGAGAAGCATATTTACAGGGATATATAGTGTAGTGCTCTAATCGAGTATAACAATATAATTCTGACTGGGAAGGTCAGCAAAGACTTCAAGAAGGTGTTGCCGTTTGAGTTGGACCTTGAATCATGAGTAGGTATATAACAGAGGAGGTGATGGCTTTGTTGGCTGAGGAACAGCGTGAATAGTGGCATGAAACAAGCCCAGTGTTTCTAGAGTATAACCTGCATGAAGGGAAGTTACTGAAGAGAAGGCTGGAAAAGTATAGTGGAAGGACAGACTGTACAGAGCCTTTATTCTGCAGGTGATGGGAAACAATTGTTAGCTGCTACATAACAAATATTAGCTGATGTTTGTGCCCCTACTCTATCTAGGGTAGGCACGATATTAGGAATTTAGTTCACTCACCAACCCACTGAAGCTTTGAGTATTTAATTTGCATACGTGGATCTCTTGGTCTGTTATTAAACTGACTCCTATTATTAATACATTTTTTCTGAAGTTCTTAGAATTGTAAATGAGATATTTCCAGAGATATGGATAATAAGATTAAAAGGGGTAAACCACAGAAATCGAGGACCTCTTAGTTTCCTAGAAAGAAGTGGCTGTTCTCTGAACAGTCCCAAGAAAGAGGAGCAGCTGGCCTCCTCTTGGCTCCTAAAAGACCCTACTGCTGTCCCCAGTGCTCAAAACTGCTACACTCCCTCGGTAACAGATACTTGACTTCAGAAGTGTCGATGAAAAAGTTCTAGCAGAAATAAAGAAATGGACTAAGACCAAACTCACAAGAGAGAATCAAATGTAGCAACTAAGATTATGAGACATAATTTTTTCAAAGGATAATGGTCTGTGCTTCCTTCTTTGGGTGTTGTATCCTGTGGTTCTGTGGGCTCAGGATACAAATATGACTTGAATATGACTTGAATGGGAAGTATAAAAGAGAGTAAACAGTTCTGGGGGCTCCGTTTCTTTCCTTCTCTGTGACTTCAGTTTGCCCCACCGAGGGAATTGTCTAACAGGGACACCACCTGAGAAACATGAGTTCACTTTTTTATGAGACATATGTGGGTTGGATGCTGAAAGACCCCAAAGCTAGATCCTAGGTAGAGCTAAACCGTTGGTTAAAAACCCTAAAACCGAGGGGGCAGGAATGCATAATGATTCATTTTTCACTTAGGACTTATTAATCACTCCACATTACTAGTGTTAACACCAGATATGTATCTACACAGCATTTCCCAACTTTTATTATACTAAGATCTTAGGTTGATGATCTACTTAGCACTCAACAACACTGGAACCCCAGTGTTGCCTAGATATATGCAAGGCTAAGGTATCTGTATACACTTGGGTGTGTATTAGGCCGTTAAAAGGCTTCCAGGGAATTCTCCACCTCTTTAAGCCGCTCCCTTTGGCCCAAAGGGCGGGGAGGAGGGGCTGGAGGGGGCGGTTTCCTAGGCGACCGCCGAGCAGCAAGTGCGCACGCGTAGTGCTGGGCCTGGCTGATGCAATCTCCCTCGCGCGAGCTGCGTCTACCGAGAGTAAGGAAGCCGACAGGGACCTGAGCTAGGCCAATCAGCGGCCACAAGGAAGAGTGCGGAAAGGCCCGCCCGCCTGATCCTGCGAGTGACGTTCGGTGGCCCTGAGCTGGTGGCGTAGCCGTCCGCCCTCCTTCGTCTCGTCCGCTTGCTTGGAGGCGTCCTGCTTCGGCGCTGGCCCTGCGGCCATTTTGAGCTTCGCTTCCACCAGCCAGCCGGCCCAGCCCTTCCGGGGTCGCTTAGCTGAGGGGCTTTTCCACGGTCAGTCTCTCCTGGCAAGTCGCCGCCGCCGCCGCCGCCGCCGCGGAAGGGCTTCTATCTATGGTGGAGAGGGCTGGAGAGGACTAGGACACCTCCTTTCTGCCAGGATGGATGTCGCCTCGGCCGCCGCGTCCTGTGCCCGCCGTTCCGGACTGTGGTCTGCCGCCCGCGGCCGAAGCCGCTCTCCTCTGTGGCTCTTCTGTTGGCCCGGGGATCGGCCTGGGGCATCAACTCCGCCTCTGGGCAAGGCTGAGACTCTGTAGGCCTTTTGGAGTCCCTCCCGGCCGCCCGCCGCTGAGCTCCGCTTTCCTCCCTCAGAGACTTGCCGAGAACGCGGAGATGGAGCCGGCAGCAGACGCATCGCGGGAACGGGCCGCCCCGCGGGCGGACTCCCGGTTCCGGCTGCCCTTCTTCTTCCCTCGGCGCTCGCGACCAGGCACTTCCAAGTTCCCCGCACCTCCTGCCCCGGAACACTCCGGGGATCTCAAACTGGCTTCTTGTCCCCCGCCTGAGGCTCGGCGCAGCTCGTGGATGCAGCTGCTTTCCCAGCTCTTTGCGCCGCTCCCCGGCTTGCTTCAGAAGCTGCTGATCTGGAGCCAGCTTTTCGGTGGGATGATTCCGACCAGATGGCTAGATTTTGCTGGAGGCTACAGCGTGCTGAGAGCCCTGAGGGCCCGGGAGGAACCCGACGACCCCACAGCGCCGAAATCTCTGAGTTCGCTGCGGCTAGAGCCCTCGGCTGACGCGGCCGCCGTTCCCCTCGATTGGCTAGAGGAGGGCATCCACTGGCAGTGCTCGTCCTCAGATCTAAAATTGGAACTTAAAGCCAAGGGAGGAACTTTGGACTCCGCAGCCCACGCTTTTCTCCTAGAGCAGCAGCTGTGGGGAGTGGAGCTCCAAGCCAATCTGTTCTCCGGGCGGGAACTTGGCCCTTCGCCCTCCGGGCCTCTCAACGTTCAGCGCTTAAGCAGTGCCAACGTCGTCTCCTATTTGCTGAACCCCTCCTATCTGGACTGCCTGCCCCGGGTAGAGCTGAGCTATCAGAGCAGCGTTAGAAGTGGCGAGCTGGTCGATTTCCAGGCGCTGAGCCCAGAAAGCGGCTGCCTGGATGAGGTCCCATCTCATCCCCAGCCGCTCAACGCGGAGATGGCTTGCGTCTCGTTGCAGGGATGTGCGCCTCTCTCTAGAGAAGGGCTGCCCGAAATCCACCATCTTCGCATGAAGCGGCTGGAATTCCTTCAGCAGGCCAGCAAGGGCCAAGCGTTACCCACCCCTGACCAAGATCATGGCTACCACAGCCTGGAGGAAGAGCACAGCCTGCTCCGGATGGATCTGAAGCACCGCAGAGATAGTGCAACACAGTGTGTTCCCGCTGCTGGAGCCGTTCCCGGCACCGCTCAGGAACCCACTGAGGAGAAGGTAGAATTGTTGACTAAAGAGGTTCCCCTTGCTTTGGAGAGACAGGGCACCTCGGAAGGCTGTCTATCTTGTGAGGTTCCTACGGAGCAGGAGCCTGGAGAGGACCAAATAAGTGTAATTGACTCCTCAGACATAGACGATGACCTTCCCATTTCTGCCAGACCAGCCTGTAGCAACAAATTGATAGATTACATTTTGGGAGGTGCAGCCAGTGACCTGGAAACAAGTTCTGATTCAGAAGGTGAGGATTGGGATGACGACGCTGAGGATGATGGTTTTGATAGCGATAGCTCACTCTCAGAATCAGACCTTGAACAAGACTCAGAAGGGCTCCACCTTTGGAACTCTTTCTATAGTGTCGATCCTTATAACCCCCAAAACTTCACAGCAACAATTCAGACTGCTGCGAAAATTCTTCCCAGAGACCCTTCTGACTCAGAGACGGATTTGTCTGAGAAGTCTAATCTAGAAAATCCTCCCTGGACTGCAAGCCTTCCTGAGTCTCCTGACCATAATTCTGGGGAAGAAGATGACTGGGAATCTAGTGCAGATGAAGCAGAGAGTCTCAAACTGTGGAATTCTTTCTGTAATTCCGATGACCCCTACAACCTTCTAAATTTTAAGGCTCCTTTTCAAACATCAGGGAAAAATTGGAAAGGCTGTCGAGCCTCAGAGAGGCCGTCTGAGTCTATTGTGGCCATTTCTGAGTGTCACAGCTTACTTTCCTGTAAGGTACAACTGTCAGGGAGCCGAAAAAGTGAATGTCCAGACTTGGTACAGGGTGGGGTTCTTTCTGGAGCAAGACACACACATATCCAGAGAAAAAAGGTTTGTTTCTTTCTTTTAACATGCCTGATAATTTGTATTGCCTGTTCTGATGTGGTTAAGGATATCAGCATGACTTTCCTGGAGGCATAATAGTGCATATTTTTGAGGAAAGACTGCAAGCTCATACACTTGGATTGAGAAATGAGCCTCCCCCCCCCCCTGCCCCCCCGCCACTTCCCTCATTTGAGTGTTGTTCCTGTCTGAATTGAAGGTGCCATTGTATAGATGTTAGCTCGAAGGTGCTGTTTTCTTTTGGATTGGCAGCTCTGGGCTGTTTTCCTCCAAGCTTAAACTTTTCACTTTTTTTTTAAGAAACAGAAAAATTAAACCTTGTGTGTACACGATTTAATTCTAGAGATTGAGAAGGTCCTATTATAGCCATAGAGTTTTAAATGGTAATAAATGTGGTGTTTGCAGACACTTAGTGTTGTAGTTACATGATAACAGTGTCTTCATTCCTGTCCGTTAGAACCCAAAGGGATGATGGTACCAAGTAGCAAGTCATATTTGTCTGGTTCTTTGCCATGAAAGAAAATACTGATTTCAGTATTAAAAACTTTTGGACATTTGGGATTTTGATTGACAGTCAAAAACAATACAGAAAATAGTGTTGCCTTTTCTTGAGAAAGTATTACTAGTTATCATTGGCCAGCTACAGGTTAATAATCATTTGTAACAATGATGGTCATTTATTTGGTTTTTTTGAGTAGTTGCTTCCTATTCCCAGACTAGTCTTAAAACTTCATGGAGCATTTTATTTTACTCTTTCAACACATTGTCAAGTTAACCTTATTTTGGGAGTCTTTTGAATTGCTTTTTTTTTTCTCTATTGTTTATTCAACTGAAGTTATTAATTGGAGAGTGATCCCCCCAGACACACAGGGTATCTTTTATTGTGAAGGGAAAGTTTCTTCTTTACTTATATTTGGAAAGAGAAAGGTGTAGGTAAATTATTATTGACCTCAGATTCAGCAGCATCAAAGTTTCAAGTGGAAAGAACCATCCACTGTCTCCAAGTGACCAGCTTAATACTTTGAAACTCTTCCAGGGGTAGAAAATGTCCCTAAATGGTGGTAATCTTATGTCTTCGCCATAGAAGCAGAATAAGGCATATTAAAAATTAAATTTCAGTTTACACTTTTGTAAATGCTGTCATCAAAGAGTTTTTCTCTATATTTTTAAAGGGTCCCTGACAAAATGACCTATTTAGTGAATAGATAAGAAGCGAAATGGAGCAATGGAACGAGCACTTGGCACCTGGAGACCTTTGTTCCCCACTCCTGAGTAGTTAGGGCCAAGAGATTTGAGAAGACAGCCAGAGCTAGGAAGTAACTTGACCTCTCATGGCTTTGATTCATTTATTTATCTTATGGAAGTAATAAGAAGAAGAAGAACTATTGTATGAATTATTGCACGGTTTAAATGAGGTGAGTAGATAAAACTCACAGTTAGTTGCCTTGACTTTAAAATGGTAGCTCTTGTTCAGGGACCTCAGGCCAATCTCATGCCTCATTTTAGCTTGCTCATTGAATATGACTGAGATGAGTCAAGTAGCTGTGTCTCAGCTATTACTATGAACTAGAAGCAACATTTATAAAAGATTTTGTCTGCGATATGGTAAAATTATAGCCTTTGACTACATGCCATTCTTTAGGTATACGGGAATAATGGATAGTGCCTACTTCTTAGAATGAGGCTTTCAGATCTGGGAGTTTAAAATGCTTTGTGTCGTGGCATAACATTGTGCAGATTGTGGAGCCAGACTCAGGGTTTGAATCCTTACACACCCATAGAAGCTGTGTGATATGAACAGGTCAGTTCACCTACCTACCTTGATTTCCTTATCTGTACAATGGAGATGATAGTAATACATACCCCATAGGGTTGATATGATGATGAAGTGAGATAAAAATTGCTAAGTACTTTGAAAAGAGCCTGGCATATGATAACCACTATATAAATGTTTGTTGTTGTTATTTATCTTGGTGACACAATGAGTAACACTAGAATGCAATAACTTTTAAGGTATTACATACCTACTAATTGTCCTCGGGGGCATTCCTTGGCCTGATGTAAAGGGAATGAAAGTAGTAGGTCACGGTGGGATTAGCTGATGTAACTATTGAACGTATTTTAAAACAAGTTTTTACTTTTGGTGTTTGATAAAAAAGAAAAACTTCTATATTAGAAATTAAGTAGGCATTAAAAGAGACTGTCACTCCATGTGATCATGTATATTGTAATATTCTCAATTTCATGTATATGTAGTGATAGCATATTGAGGAATACAAAGAGGGTTTTTATCTTTACAGTCTCTCTTATAGTAACATAACTTTAAAGATACGTTAATTTTGCTGCAGTTTGTTTATTAAGTAACTCTCTTCCGTATTCTTATTACAAAAGTAATAATATAAGAATAATACTACATATTTATGATTCAAGAATTGGAAAGCACTGAAAAGTGAAATTTTTTTGGAAAAAGGAAGAATAGAAATAAGTGACGATCTTGTAAAAGCTTTTGTGTTGTAATAAAAGCATTGACTCCAGGAATATATTTCTGAAATACTTTGTTTGGAAACATTTGTCATTTGGAAAAGTATCACAGAATTGATTTCCCTAAAGATTAAAAAAAAGTAAAGATTAATAACATCAGGAGAATTTCACTTACCCATCTGGATTGGGGGTAGTCTGGGGTTGACCGGATAATGGATGCGGGATGGGACTGTGTGTGTGTGTGTTTGTGTGTGTATTGTGTGTGCGTGTGTGAGAGAGAGAGAGAGAGAAGGAGAAAGAGAAAGGAATTAAAGGGACATTTGCCCACTGTTTTATTCAGGTGCCATCTAGTCAGTTAGAACCCTTCCTTCTTTCCTCCCTCCCTCCCTTTCTTCCTCCCTTCATTCCTTCCTTTTGCTTCTGTTATATTTGAGATTAAAATTAGTCTATATCTTTATAGGTAACCTTCCTTGAAGAAGTTACTGAGTATTATATAAGTGGTGATGAGGATCGAAAAGGACCATGGGAAGAATTTGCACGGGATGGATGCAGATTCCAGAAACGAATTCAAGAAACAGAAGACGCTATTGGATACTGCTTGACATTTGAGCACAGAGAAAAAATGTTTAATAGACTCCAGGAAATGTGCTTCAAAGGACTTAATGTTTTCGAGCAATGTTAAGATGATGTGACAGCCTCTGGCCTTAGCAAACACTACCTCTTACTTGAGAGGTTTCTTTTAAAAACAAAAATTGGCAGCTGTCCTTTGACTTTTTTCTTAGAGGATATGCAGCTTGGATCCAGTGACCTAGTTTAATATATATTTTTTGCAACATATCCCACTCAGAAATGTACAGGTTTGAAGCCAAGCCCTGAAAATGAAGGATGAGATGGTGTGATTTCTAATCCTCCTTTTTTGTTCAGTTGGAGTTGTTTTTGAATGTTGTTTGCTTGCTGAAGTGAAAAGGGGACCTCTTAAGGTGTAATTTTGCACTTTGAAAACTTATTTTCTTGGGAAACAATATTTATAGGGTTTGAAGCCCATTTTTCATTCTAATTTAAATTACGTGTACCTGTCTAAAAACTTTGGGCTCTTTTTTCCCTCTGAACATTCTGAAATTAATGGGCTGTTATGTTTTCTCTATATTTTTTTATTTCAGTAATTTGGCCCTTCTACTTCAAGGCTAAGAAAATAATCTTGTATATACTACCAACTTAAAGTACATTATCTTGTGTCATTGTGGGGTTTTTTCTTTCTTTCTAAAAATGACTGGTTGAAAATATGTGGTGGGTTTTTATTTCTAGATTAAGCTCTACCTAGGATATTTCCAAGAACTGCCACAAAACCTATATGTGCAGTACTTTCTGTTACTTTGGGAAAGCTGCATATTTCTGCCAAATTTTAACATCTGATATACTTAATTTCTGTGCAAACTCTTTTTTGAAGAAGGTTCTGTATATGTTATTATAGTTCCCACTTGGGTGGTTCTTTGTGTCTTCAGTAGGTAGAAATTGTTGTAAAAGACTCCCGAAGTAATAATTGCATCATAGTTGCTTTTAAATTTAAAAGCTTAGAATTTTCCTAGGAAGAAGATAGGAGACATCTCAGAGCAATTTGGTCTTGTTGTATGTGCTCTCAAAAGAAAACCAGTGTTATTAATATGCCTCAGCACCGTCACTTTTAAAACCTGTCGGGATGGCACTGTGAACTTGGAAATGGACAGTTCTTAACTTTCCAGTTTGAAATGTAAAATGTAGACTTCAGTCAATATCCAAGTTTATTGTGTTCTCCTTTTTTAATAGTGAGAGAAGTAATGGCAAGGCCTATAGTTTCAGGAAAGAACTATAGATTTAACAAACAGAAAGTCTTAATATCTTCAGCCCAAAGTTTACTTTTGTTTTTTTTTCCACTTGAAAAAAGCTGATATCTTTAATAAACAAAAGTGATAATGTTCATTTTCCAAAGCAGACTGTTTTTGCAGTGACTGATTGCGTTTGGTTTATTGAGCTAGTTCTACATGGTGTGCATTTGTTAGGTTGAGGGAATGTTAACCAACTCCTTAATGGTCTATTTTTGTTTCATGTGCCTCCTGTCACAGGTAATGGAAAACATGAATAGAATAGATGACCTCTTAATTTTGAACCTGTTTCAGAGTGGGGACAAATTTTTCATCAGAAGTGCTTGCAGGGTTACTACCTCAGTTTATAATCTACCTGGTCATTATTTTATTTGTTTGGGTTGCTCTAAGAACTGCCTCTAGTGTTAATATGTATATATATATTCATACTTAAACACACTGAGAGTACAAGTAAAAGTCAGATTTTTGCAGAGCCCTTCTTCAATGTGGTTTGTGCCCCTGCATTTTAGGTAATCACAGGGAATGCATTTATAGAGTCTGGTGTAACAACATGGAAATAAGCTTAAGTTTCAAACACCAGCTGTGTCAGTTGGAAAGAAGGTGTCACTTGCCTTGAAAAGAAAACTTTGAAAATGTGTAGGCATTCTTTTAAAACCAGACTGAAGTATACTGTTTTCAGAGACTTAGGTTGTGTTTTGTGTTTCTGAAATCTTGCACCTCTGCATGTATGAAAATAATGGGATATCTTTACATTTACTGGATTTTGGAGAATTATTCCCTTGAGATTCCAGCCTCACTACCAAATACGTAAAAGCTTGGTGAAGAGTTCTCCCATTTACTACCCTCCTTTAAAAGAAGTGATCAGGCGGTGATAAGGACAAAAGGGACCATTTTAAAGTTGGACAAGGGAAGAAACAGAATTCTTACCAGTTTCATTCTGATTCTAGTTGTTAGAACAAAGTTAAACCTTCAGTCTTAAAATCCTTGGAAGTTTTAACTGAACATTTTACACACCTAAAAGTCTCGCGATGGTGCTTTAAGTATCAATGTAGCATATGAAAGGCTTTGTACAGACAAGTAAAATTTCCTTTTCTGAGTGTTCAAATGTGATAACACCATCTCGTCATCTTTAACTTGAAATCAAAACTATCAGATTTTATTTTTTTATAATTTAAGGAAGGTGAAGTTCGGGGACTAGAAGACATCTAAATTGGCTTCTACAGATCCAATGATTTAAATGTAACCAGTTTGTTGGGACTTTATAGCTAAAATTATATTTGTGTATATAACTGTTAGCTAATCTGTAAATTGTAATAAATATATTTGCAATTTTTAAATGTTACAAGATATTTTGGTTCAATTTTATATTGTATTTTACATTATTTTCAGTATTACTGAGCAGGATTTCCAGAATTAAATCAGGTGTTTTTGTAGAAGCACTGTAAACTTTAAAGGTGCTGCACAAATTTATGTGGTTTAAAAAGGTTATGTGGGGCTTCCCTGGTGGCGCAGTGGTTGAGAGTCCGCCTGCCGATGCAGGGGGCGCAGGTTCGTGCCCCCGTCCGGGAGGATCCCAGGTGCCATGGAACGGCTGGGCCCATGAGCCATGGCCGCTGAGCCTGCGCTCCGCAACGGGAGAGGCCACAGCGGTGAAAGGCCCGCGTACCGCAAAAAAAAAAAAAAGGTTATGTGACATGGAAATTACACCACAACTAACTGAAGTGGAAGGAATGGTAAGGGAATAAATATAATTGTAAACCACATTTTGGTATTAGAAAAAAGAATTTAGTTCTTAGCGTATGAAATGCCCTTCTTAGAGAATGGGGGTTTGATTCTAAAATTGGCCCCAACTATGTATTTCTTCTGCAAAGAAAACAGTAAAATTGTGGGCTTCCCTAGTGGTGCAGTGGTTAAGAATCCTCCTGCCAATGCAGGGGACACAAGTTCAAGCCCTGGGCCGGGAAGACCCCATATGCCACGGAGCAACTGAGCCTGTGCGCCACAACTACTGAGGCCCTCACACCGCCACAACTACTGAGGCCCTCCCACCTGGAGCCCGTCCTCTACAATGAGAGAAGCCACCGCAATGAGAAGACCGTGCACCGCAATGAAGACCCAATACAGCCAAAAATAAAAACAAATTTATTTTAAAAAAAAACAACAGTAAAATAGTATTCACAGAAGCAGTAAATTCATATTCTGGGAATAGCATAGTGTTTCTACTAAGTATCAGGGAATTCGGTTTCTTTATTTTGTGCATTAATATTAATGATAACCATGGTATTTGTAAGTCATGATGTTACCTCATGATATTGAATAAATGTGATGGTAACATCAGAAAAAACAAACTTCTTATCCTGAAAAAAAGACATTTGGGCTATAGCAAGCCTGTTCATGGACTAAGGCATAATAGCATTCTTAATTTAGGCATTTGGATCTTCCAAGCTATTGAAAAGTTATTAAAGGTGTATTTCTGAACTAGAAAGAAATTAACATTTAGTTGCAGATAAATCAATGTTGAGTACAGATTGAATTGATGGCCCAGGTTATACTTCTATTACCATCTTGGGGTTAATTTAAGCATTTTTGGCTATGTCCCCCCAGGAAGGGGAGAAAATATAATAATAGTCATGTTTACACCAAGCCAGATTTATTGTTAATGACTATCCCAATATCCCTATAGAAGTTGTGCTGTGTTTCTTTTTTGTTCTACTTTAATAGAAAGTTTAAAGCAAATATTTAATTGCTGACCTCAGAAATGTTGATAGTTACACACAGATTTGGGAGTTTGTTGGTCTCATTTGGAGACTTCCTTTGGACCCTCCTTTATGTACCTTTTAAAAATAAAAATATCTTCATTTTTATCTCATGTTATTTATAAAAGTAATACAGAGATATAAAGACATCTGGTACATTCTAAAGAGTAAGTACGTTGCTCAGCATACCTCTTTGAGCTAAGAGACTTAATTTCTTTTTATGTGCATGAAGAGGTTTTGATATTTCTTCATTCAACTGATTATGACACGAATGTTGGCTATTTGGAATATACCTACATTGTTTCTCAGGATTCTTATGGACTTAGTTGAATGCTTTGGTCAATACAAAAAAAGTCTTTTTCTGCCTGGATTCGCTCCATTGAGACTAAGTTTTTATTGGTTAATTATGACTTTAAAATACAAAGGAAGCATGATATCAAGCTCTGCAAAAATAGGTGTAATAAATAGGATAAATAGATCTAACCCTGCTCACTTTGAGGATTTATACAAGACCTATAATGCTTTCAATTAATACGTATTAGTGACAGTTTTGACATCAGGGAAGTTAGAAATAATTCTACATGTGGAATGGAGAACACGGTGGAGGTGGTAGTGCTGTGTAACAGTTTGAGTCACATCATTGTTTTACCATCGGCCGACTCCTTAATTTCACCAGGGAAAGATAGGGGAAACTAGATTTATGGAAAGTGGGTTGCTTGACCCACGGAGAGGATACCCTGGAGATCTAATGAGAACATAGGTCTAGAAAGCTGAACTATGAAGACACTTTGGAGCGATTGTTCAGGTTTTGTTCTTTAATCCATTACCCCTCCCTTTGTCTCAGTACTATCCTTTTCTGCCACTTTCCTCCTGCCTTTGTTTGCTATTTTCACTACTGTTTCATAGATCCTTACCTAGAAGAAGAGGGATGAGGACTTTCACAGCAAAAGAACAGCACAGTTGCCAGAGGTGTGTTCAATAGCGATACTATCCATCAAGAAGACACTTATTGCACATTTCCCCACCAGAATGCTAGGTTATATACACTGAGACTGGATTAACTTCAAGAAATATCCCAAAGATGTTTAGGGTCAAAGAAAGAGGTGGTACTAAAGCTGGATTATGCTGCTTTGAGGTAAGCCTGTTTTTCCTAATGGGCTTCACACACTGGCTTTGAAGGCAAAAACCAGAGAGAAGTCCCAAAAGAATTTTGAAAAAGGCTCATCTAGATATATGTTCTGGAATGGTTGTTTTTAAAAACAAATTTCATCATGAGAAGACTGTTTGGATCTCAAATATCATCTCCAAGAGACCTCTGACCACCCTACCCTCCAACCCCTTTTTCCCACTATCTTTACCTTTTAAAATAATATTCACAGCCTAGGACTGTTGCTGGCACATTATAGATAGTCAACAGATATTTGTTGAATGAGTTAATAACTTTTCCTAAAGTGAGTTCCCATATAGCCTTTACTGAGAGTTCGTCAGCACAGCCATGTCTGATTAGAATCCAATGTGCCTCAGCCGTAGATGATACGGAATCACAGAACTGAGGGGTCCTTAGGGAGAAGCTGTAGTAAGCTCTAAATTTGTAGAATGTAATTACAAATTTCAATTGTAATTGAAATTTGTGCTTAGGGATACCGCATCAATTAAGTTGAGTGTCATTAACAAGGTGCATGTTAATTTATGAAGTTAATATGTGAGCAAATCAGCTGAGACCTTTCTTTTCCAGAATGAAAGAGTACCAAAGTATTGTACTAGAGTACCAAAGTATTTTTCCCACCACACCAGAAATTTCAGTTCTACTCCTTTTTTGGCAGGTTGGCTTTGAGTTTCTAGAGATGCACTGTTGATTCCACCAGATGGTGTGACTTGCCATCTCGGAGTGCCTGACAGATTCCTTTTATTACTAATCTGATGGCTGTTGCTTGCTTAGAGGTCATTCCCTTGGTGTATAAACAAGATGGCAACTGCCCTGCTGTGCCCATTCTAGGCCTGCCTGGCCCATTGTGACTCCACCTTTTAGTGGTAACTACCCATCAATGGGGGCTGTTCCTTATGGGAGAACCAAGAAGTGTATTTGAACACAAATAAATGAATTGATTCTTCCTGATCCACATGGAGGAATAATAAAATGAATACGACGATTTAGGAGATTGGAGGTGAGATATAGGAGGCTGATGTATGGATATTTGCCGGGGTTTTGTATTAGGGTTTTTCTAGTTAGGGTTTTATCTCACTTAACTATTTGTTCAGCATTCAGTTTTCTATTGCATTCCTGTGCATCAGGGCAGTCATTCTCAATGAGAGGAGAGAGGGTGCCACATCGCTTGGAGCATGGGGTCTCACTGTGCCTGATTACAGAATTACACATGCAACTGGCGTGGAAAGAGGAAAAGAGCCTCAAGAACTATTGGTCTGGGGTTTGTGCTGGTGTTACCTGTTTCCCTCTTAGAGCTAGTAGCCAAGGCCAGGTGGATATCCAGGACTGCTCTTTGGTAGGTTGGTATTGGCTCCAAGGGGCTGCTCCGATCTGCTTCCAGGTGTGCAGAATGGAGGCCATTACATGTTTGCATACAATTTTCCTGTGCCTGCAGTGACTGAGGCACCTTTCAACTGTATTATTGTGGTGCTTTTCCTTTCTTTTGTTTCTGAGTAGGGAAGGTAGGCATGTTTTTGTACTTTCAGGAATTTACATGGGAGTTTTTTGTTTGTTTTTTATTTCTGTTTGCCATATTTTCTAGATATTCACCTCTGAACAAATTCCCTTCCCCAGGACAACCTACTGAAAGTCACAGCTTGATTGGCCTGGGGGGTGTAACCCAGTACTGCCTGAGAGATGGCAATACTTTTAGAATAATATTGAATTACAGAAGAAAAGTCCTGCTGGGAAGTCATAGGGTTGAAGCAGGTGCATATTCTTGCAATTAATTTCCCAGGTTGTTCCAGATGGGATGACAGTTACGTTAGCTAATGTCCCTTCTTTTTCCCCTTTTTCTCATTCAGTCATTAAAAAATTAAATTTATTTAAACTAAACAAAAACAACAACAACGGTTCACCCATTTCTCCCACCCCCACCCCCACTTAGTCTCTGGCAAAAATCAATCAGTTATCTGGATCTTTGAGCTTGTTTTTGTTTGTCTAGTTGTTGTTGTTGTTTTAGATTCCACATATAAGAGAGAGTATACTGACTTATTTCATTTAGCTCAGTGCCCGAGAGGTCCATCCAGGTTGTCACAAATAGCAAGATTTCATTTTTTCCAGTGTCCCTTATTACCCCTTTCATTTGGCATAGAACCACCTCAGCGTCCCTTGGGAATATTTACCTTCTGTCATCAGGTTTCATCTACCCTCTAAAGGCTTCCCTGCTGACTCCATCTCTACATCCTCAGAGCTCATTATTGTGTTTTTCAGTATTACAGCGCCCTGTACATGTTCTTATCACTGTTCATCACATTGAATTGTAATTGTGTTTGCAATTCCATTTCTTCCTGTAGATTGTCACCTCTTTGGCGGAGGGGTCCTCAGCACAGGGACCAGAATGTCTTAGGTGCACAGTATACTTTTCTTTAACTCAAGTGA